GGAAAAAGGTTGGGAAACGCTGGCTTACAGTATAGGATTAATTTTTTTTCTTGATTTAACTTTAGATTTATATTTACTTATTATTTAACTATTTAAAAATAATAATTAATAATTAATTTTAAGGTAATTTCAAAGAGTTATGCAACATGTATGTAAAATCAGTACCTGGATTTCAAAATATGCATAACCGGCATGTTAATTATACTAGTTGGAAAATCCATGATGAAATTATTCAATTATGCGCCGATGAAGTTAATGAAATTATTGTAAATGAGGTTTCTTCTGTTGGATTTTTGCTCTGATGTGTGATGAAGCAAGGTAATTTTAATAATATAGTCTTGCATGTAGGATTAATATTTAATATTCATTTATTTTTAGTAAAAACTTAATGTTTTAGATGCCATAAAGAAGAGCAATTATCTATATGTATTAGATACACAGTTGAGTTAAATATTCATGAACGGTTTTTAGGGTTTGTTGATGTGTCTAGTGGTCAAAAGGCAGACCAGATTGTAACAACCATATTTAAATTTTTTAAAAAACAAAAAAATAGTCTACAACATGTAAATATTGTAGCACAGTCATATGATGGTGCCAGTGTAATGTCTGGTCAATTAAATGGTGTACAAACTAAAATAAAAGAGCACCATCCAACTGCCGTTTACATACATTGTATTTCACACCGTTTAAATTTAGTTGTTGTGGATGTATGTACATCAATTAAGGTATAACATTTAGAATTTTTTATTAAATATATTAACAAATAGTGTAATATTATGTATTTAAATTTTTATTTAGGAGGCTCGTAATGTATTCAATACCCTTGAAGCGGTATATGTTCACTTTTCAAAGCCTACAAACAATATTAAATTATGTGAAGTACAAACAAAATTAGGTTTGAAAAAAGGTTCTATAATGAGGGTTTGCGATACTCGTTGGGTTTGTCGGTTCAAAAATTGTAAAGCCATCATTGAAAACTATGTTGCTATTGTTGATACACTTCAGATCGAAATTGAGGATCAATCTGATAAGAATGTGCCTCAAGCAATAGGTAATTGTTATTTTCAACTATATAAATACAAATATAATTTTTCTCTTTAATAGTTTAATTATTAAAAACTGTTTATAATAGGAATTCTTACTTCAATAGGAAGAAGTGAATTTATTGTTTTAGTTTTTATTCTCCATGAGGTATTAGCTATAATAAATGTATTGAGCAACCAACTACAGAATACTAACACTACATTAGGAAAGTCAGTAAATATTATTAATGGAGTTATATCAACATTCAAAAGCCTAAGATCTGATGAGTCGTTTAGTAACCTTTAGACAAGAATTGAACAATTTTCTGAGGAAAATGAAATAGATCTTCAAATTCCAACCACAGGTATATTTTTTGTCTTGTATATTTAATTGTATATAAAAAATTTATAAAAACAAATTATAGCTTGATAGGTACTTAATATGTTTTGTTTAGGATCAAAACGTAAACGAAATCATCCAAATAAATTGAACGATTTTGCTTTATTTACCAATACTAGTGCTCAACATGAACCAGTAGATAAGGATATTGCAGTTAATATTTATTGGAGACAAACAACTTATATGCGTGTAAATGATCAAGTGATAACTAATTTAGAAAAGAGGTTCTCAGCTGAAAACTTACAGTTAGCAATATCAATAAATAACTTTTTAAGTCTTGATTTTGAAAATGGCATGCTTTTTATAAACCACTATAAAGTAATTATAAATTATAATATTATGAAAATATAAAATTGTGTAACCCTACTATATTTTATGCAGGACCTTTTAGGAGTATGCATTAATAGTTTAAAGGCAGAAATAATTGTTCTAAAAAAATGTTTACCCACTAATTACAATTTTGAATTTTTATATTAAATACTTTAAAAAATTTATCTGCTTTTTATCTAGATAAATTCTGATTATCTTTTATCTATTAAATAGATAATTTTAGTTGAGTTTATTTTTATCTTTATCTTTATCTAGATGAAAAAAAAATTATCTGGGCTCAACACTCATTATTACTTATCATTATTATTATAACCCTATTATTGTAATTATTTATCATTATGAATTATTCTTAACTATATAAAATGAACTCTGTAATTATACTGTATAACTATGTACCATATTATATATCAGGGGTAGCCAGCAAGAAGAGACTCGCGAGCCACCAAATATATTAATAAATATGGAAGAGCCAAAATGTAAAAAAAAAGGTCATATTATTATATAATTTGTATATATATATATATATGTGATATTGTAAATAAGATAAGGTATCGTATTTAATAAAATGTGAAGAATACGATAACAATAATTGTACAATAATCTCAAATTAAATTTTATCTTCAAAAATACCATAAATATAAAAATATATAGACATAGACACACATGGATAATGGATATTATGTCTTCATAGTGCTTTTTGACGTTGTGCGTGTAACAACATAACATTAATAAAATAATTATTATGTCTAAGAAACGCAAGTATGAAGAACACAGAGAATTCAAATTACAATGGGAAAAAGAGTAATTTTTCATAGAACGAAACAGTAAACCATTTTGTCTCATCTGTCAATCCCAACTATCACAATTTAAGGTTAGTAACTTAAAACTGCGTTAACAACATATAGTCCTGATTTTAAAAAGCTTACAAGCAAAATAAACACGCAACAAATAAGAAAATAGTCTATAAAGAAAAATGATATCAGGAACACTTTATTTTTACACATTTTTTTCTATACACTGTAATTTAATAAAATATTATATTTTTTCAAATACATAAATTCATATTTTCAAATTTTTTGTANATTTAACAAAAAACATTATAGATGTTATTTCCATTTTAAAACCGGAAGATAAAAAATTAATAAATATGGTTGAAAATATTTCGAATAGTAGAAATACTATGGAAAGACATATTTCAATGATAAGTTCAGATATTTTCTCTAATTTACAAAATGAAATTGCTAATTGTTCTGCATTAAGTTTAGCGTTAGATGAATGTACATTCAGGATAAACCACAGTTAGCTATTTTTATACATTATGTGACGATGAATATGGAAGTGAAAGAAGAATTATTAGATCTTATATTAGATCTCTTAAAGAAACTACTAGAGGTTGTGATATTAAGGATGCTCTTGACATAGTACTTCGTAAAGCAAAAGTACCTATTGCAAAAATTGTTAGCGTCTCAACTGATGGTGCACCCAGTATAACAGGTTGTAAAAATGGATTGATAGGTATTTTAAAAAATGATACTGATTTTCCAGACTTTATTCCAATTCATTGCATTATTCATAGAGAACACCTAATGGCTAAATATTTTAAATATGAACATGTGATGAGTGTTGTTCTTAAAATTGTAAACTACATACGTTCACGTTCAAAGATACATCGCCAATTTAACACGTTCAACACCGACGACAACACGGTGTTGTCACGGTAGGCAGCGCGCTCATCGCCGATGACAACACATTGTTGTCATGCGAGTAGTTTATTTTTGAACAGTCTTTTTTCCGTCGGCTTTGTGCATACACACATCATTTTTCTTTATCCTATTGGTGAACACTTCAGCTACATTTTGGTGTACTTGGATTTAAAATTGTGTTTATTTGTCATAATTTCAAATAAAACAAAAAAAGTAAGTTTTTTCTATATTATATTTATTTTATCATAATATTTTATCATTAATATTTTTGTTATATGTTTATAATAAATAATATTAAATCTAACTTTTATTGAATTTTTTAATTGTTTTTTACAGTTCAAATATTTAAAATTATTATTATTAAAATGGACCTTCCACCTGGCCCATCGTGTAAAGATATAGGGAATGTAAAAAAAAAAGTTTTGACTGATGAAGAATTGTTAAACATTTTGGAGAATTCTGACGAAGATTTAAATTTTAGTTCAGAATCAGACCTGGGAGGAGATTCAGCCGATGAGGATTGTGATCTTCAATGCAATGAAAATCCTTGAGTAGAAAATGAAATAGTTAATAATAAAGCAATATTAAGAACTCAGCCCGTAGAAAGGCAATCCAACAACTATATGTGGGTTGATGATCCACCACATATAACCAAAGTTCCATTTTCTAGAGTTGCTGGTTTAAAAACACGACCACCGGGAAATAACCCAATTGATTATTTTAGTATGCTTTTTACCGATGAACTGATCGAATTAATTGTGCAAGAAACTAATTTATACGCTGTTGAAATATTTTTGGCTTCTTCTGGGAATTTTACTAGTAAAATTTCTCAATGGAAAGATACTTCTGTAGAAGAAATGAAAATATTTTTAACGTTACTTTTTCACACCGGAATCATAAGAACAAACCGTTTAGAAGACTACTGGAAAAAATGTGAGTTATTTGATTTAAAAATTGTTCGATCACATATGAGTAGAAATAGATTCATGCTAATTTTGAGAGCTCTACACTTTTCTCATTCTAAATCTAATAATCGATTAAATAAAATAGAAAATATTGTGAACTATTTCAATAAGAAAATGGAAGAAGTGTATGAACCAAGTAAAAATTTAGCATTGGATGAATCGATGGTTCTATTTCGCGGCAGACTGATCTTTCGGCAATATATTAAAAACAAACGACATAAATATGAAATTAAACTATACATGCTAACAGAATATTTTGGTCTTGTGCACCGAGTAATGATATATTCAGGGCAAGCATATTACATGACTTTGGATTGCTGTCACACCAAGTACGTGGTTGAAAAACTCATGGAAAAACGTTTGTATAGTGGCCGTTCACTTTACATAGACAATTATTATAATAGTGTTAAATTAGCCCATAATCTTTTAAATAAAGAAACTTATTGCACTGGGACATTGAGACAAAATAGGAAATATAATCCTAAGGACATTACTTCCGTAAAATTAAAAGTAGGAGAGAATGTTGGTAAATATACAGAAAAAGGTGTGTGTGTGTCTAAGTGGTGAGATCGGCGTGAAATATTAATGATTAGTTCAGAGTTTGAAAATAAGATGGTTGAGGTAACAAATAGGAAAGGACAAACAAAAATAAACCACTTGCAATTTCTAAATATAATCAATATATGTCGGGTGTTGATAAACAAGACCAAATGATGTCTTATTATCCTTGTGAAAGAAAAACAATCAGATGGTATAAAAAAATTGTAATTCATTTTTTTCAACTTTTTATGTTAAACTCATATTACCTTTTTATAAAACACGAGAAAAAAATAACTTTTTATAATTACAGACTATCAGTAATTTTGAGTTTATGTGAATCACATAATATTGTACCTAGTTTGTCATTAAAATCTCAAACAAAACCAATTCATTTGCCAAAAAAATTACCAAAAAATAAAAAAGGTGTGTACTTAAGGAAAAGGTGTAAACTATGTTATTCTAAAGGGAAAAAAAGAGTGACTACTATACATTTCTGTCCTCAGTGTGGATGGTGAACCAGCGCTTTGTTTAGAAAATTGTTTTGAAGAATTTCATACATAATCAATTAATTTTAATGCATATATTTATAAACTAAGACTAAAATTTAATTTTATATTATTAATTTATAAATAGGAAATTTTTAAAGAAAAGTGGCTGTAATTTTATTTTTGATTTTATTATGTTTTAATAAAATATCTGTGTGTAAAAATAAATAAAATAACATCTTGTTCATGGAATTATATTTCGTTAGAATATTTATGGTTTTAAATTTGCCTGAAAAAAAATAACAATAAAACAGTATAATGCTGCCTACATGGCCGGTGACAACACGTCATTGTCATACCTTATCGCGGCGGAATTTCCATGTGGCTATTACAAACAAAATGATAATACGGTAACGGCATTGAACGTGTTAAAAACTTTATTGAAAGTTAAGAGGATGATATTCCAAATGATGTTTCATAGTATTGTTTAGTTCGATGGTTATCGGTAAATAACGTTTTAATAAAATTTTTTCGATTTATTAGAACCTATTAAAACATTTTTAAAAGAAAAAGATAAAAACTTTCCACAACTTTCAGACCCACAATGGTTAAGAGATATGTCTTTTTGTACTGACGTTGTGCATCACTTAGCCACATTAAATATGTCTCTTCAAGGTAAAAATAAATTCATAAATAACCTAGTACAAGACATTTTTAGTTTCCAAAATAAGCTTAAACTTTTTCAGAAACTTAAGAATAAAAAATTTAAACCATTTTCCGTACTTAAAAAAATTTGAGGATTATTTGGTTGGAATAGCAACAAAATTGAATTGTGAAGATTATGTACAAAAATTAGAGTGTTTATCAACTCACTTTGAAGATCGATTTGGCGGTTTGGCCACCCCTGTTATATTATATTATTTCTATCAGAGTTTTATAAGTAATTAAAATACAGACATCCAATAAATAAGATATATTGGTTTGAAGTCATATGAGGTGTAAACAGATTTATAAAAACTATATTTTTTAAAACTTAAATTATCTCCAAATAGAACATTTGTGGGATAGTTACTTTCTGCCCAACTCCATTCATTTGGTATATCTTATTGTATTTTTTTTTTTTTTATTTATCTTCATATTTTATATATTTTTATAGATTTATTACTACATATACTGTATATTATAAAAATGTAAATCTCGTGTATAATTATGATAATAATGTTGGAACTAAGAAAAATAAACCAAGGTTTACTACAGCAAATTTTAAATAAAGAAGTTCGTCAGGTATTTAACTAATAGAAGCTAACTGTTGTACTTAAAAATATTTAAGAGTAATTAATTATTACAAAACATATGATGGTAAACACACGATGGCTCAAGCAGTAATTGCCACAGATAAAATGGAATTTAAAAATATAAAACTTACATGTAGCAAAAAATTAATATGTATCAATAAAAATCAATTTCTAACAAGTATAGCAAATAATTTAATACAAAGACTTCTTGAAAATTAAAGTGAAAATAAAATGATTTTAGAAAACATTTCAGTTTTAAAAAAGTCAACATGGCCTAATGAAGTAGATTCGATAAGAGTATATAAAAAAAAATATATATAATCGATTTTTATGAAACCAGAACAAAGAAATTAATAGTATGAAGAAACTAATTGACAGTCCAACTATTTCCCCGAAAAAGTGATGCCAACATTTTATAATTATAAGTATAATATGTATAGGTACCTATCTGTTTTTTTTTAAATTCATTATAAAATAATTTTATTGATAATTTTGTACTTAATATTTATAAAATATGTCTACCAATGCAAATGACAATATTAAATTATAAAATAACAATTAATGTTAGTACCAACTTGTTGAATTGTTTATTTTATAACAATTAAAATAAAGTCTAACAGAAAACTAACAAATTTCCTCAATTTAGTCATTACATAATAATATAATAACTGTGAACATTAGTTTTTATTAAAAAACAAACAAAATTTTAAATCCTAACAAAGTTAGGTAAAAATAATGATTTCATGTTACTATAGTTAGTTACAATATTAGTAAAATTTAAATAAATACAAAATAGTTCATGATTATAACGACGTGATCAATACTATGGTGATATATATTTATATAAAAAATTTAAATAAGACAACCGAAGTATTTACTATTTCATAAATTATTCAAGTATACTGCACACTGCTAAGGAAAAGTGCGGTTTAAAAATCTATACATTTTTATTAATTTCGCAAGAAATTCGCAAGAATTTATTCATGACCCTGATATATCACCGCGATTCCTTCCACTCCTGGAAAGAAAATGAATAGATAATTTTATTATTATAAATTTATATTATAATACTTATATAAAAAATAATAATATGATAAAATATACATTATAATGTAGATTCAATGGAAATATTCGATGAAGAAGCTTTTCTTCTACAACTACAACAAGGTAATATATATATAAATTTTATTAGGTTAGCTAGATTTTTTTTATAAACAAACCTGAATTTTTTATTGCCTATGCATATAATAGAGATCAAGTTCAAAAAAAAAATCTCATTTACTCAACTTAGACACAAAGAATGCGACGTTTGTGAGTCTCAAAATTCAAGAACATTCCAAAGACCAAATGGTACCTAATTTTATTGTATGTGCGACTTATTTAACCCACATAAAAAAGCTAATACTGCTGGAGTGTTATGTCAAGAACAGGCCAAAATTAACTGTTACAACAAAGAGAATTCTATTTATTTTTCAGTTGATTTGCAAAAAATAAAAATGCTATCAAGGTTGGACACATTTAAAAAAGTTTTATTCATTAAGTGAATTGTTGCATACCATGAAAGTTTTATACCTCAAGGGAAAAAAGGTAACTTACAGCCATTTGCGTGTGTATGGCATGAAAAAATAAGTGGTCACAAGAAAGAAGATTTAATTCGCACTTTTTTAATTTTTTAACTCATTATCGTGATGCTAATAGAATCACAATTTGGTTAGATAACTGTAGTAGCTAAAATAAAAATTGATGTTTGCTATCATTTTTAGTTTATATAATAAATTCTGATCAAATTCCTGCAAATGAAATGAAATTTTTTTAAAGCTGGTCATACATTGATGTCTGCAGATAGTTTTCACCGTCAAGTAGAACAATCTCTTAAGCACCAAAAGAAAACTTACAATTTTGATGATTTTATTAAAGCTGTGGGATCTGCAAACAAATCGAGAGATGTGAAAATAATGAATAATTTTGGTTTTTATTTATGGATAAATTATAAATCTCAACAAAAAATAGGCAAGTCAACAAACCACATGTTATTAAAAGACATTGTATGTATAAAAGCAGTTAAAGATAAATTTATTTTGTGCATACAATTTGATTTTGAAGAAGAATGTTCAGAGGTTGACTTTTTAAAAAAAAATATAATGACAATATCTGAAATGGTTGCACCTCAACCATTAAATGGACTTTGTGGCAATCCTGTGAAAAAAGAAATGATATTCTGAACAATTTAAAACAAGTCCTACTACAAAACAGTTAAAGCTTTTAGGAAAATATACCTAATTTTTTAATATAATATAATCTAATTAATTTTAATACTAATATTGACAATTTGTATGTAAAAAGCTGTTTTATAATATAATTACCATATTTGTATTGATATAAATTTATTTACGGCATTTTTCCTTAATATATAAATGTATAAACGATTTATAAATATTAAGCAATAATGCCATAAAATTTACTTACGGAATGTTTCCTTAATAAATGAAAGTATATACGGCTTAAATTGCTAAATATTAACATAAAAGTAACTTTAATTCATATAAGAAGTCAATAATACTATTTTATTATTATTTCATTGGATTCCGCGTTAAAAATACTATACAGGTGGATGTTTTGAATTTGTTTTGTATGAAATCAAATAGTATTGGAAATAATAAAGGTGTAAGAAAATGAAAAATACAAAATGCATTTATTTCAAAACTAACATATATGTTGTTACGGCACTTTTCCTTAGCAGGGCAGTATAGTAGTGTCCCTAAATATTTAAACTTAATACTCAAACATATTAAAATGACATTACATTTCGGTTTCGGTTAATTTTTTACTGAAACACACGTGATGGAGTATAAGAGTGATTCAATGAATTTTATACTTCCATGACGTCAGTTGTATATAAGGAATGGTTCCGAGGGTATCAACTTGTTTACACGACTTTAAGGCAACCATATATTATCTATAAACCACGAGTTTAACCTAGGTTTATAAAAATGCAATGTTGGGTTAGTTTAGTACAGGTATGGTTGTGTATGTTTGGCATAGGTTTGATCGGGAGAAAAAAATATGAAAAATATTAAATCCAAGTTGCCTAATATTTCAGACGGGGGTAAAAAAAAAAAAAAATCTTACCTTCACATAAGCCCATACTACAGACTTCCATAAATTTTCTGGTCGCACGTTTGACGGCTCGGCGTCCTGTAGTGTAGCGTGACGTATACGATAATTTTTTTGCAGCAGAGAGACGCAATCTCAGAGAAGATCTGATACCGATTCTGAAGCACGTGTGTTCGATGGCTCAGCTTGTTGTCCTTCTAACTGCGGCGCAACGGTCGGTGCGTCCGGAACAACATTACGACCCTTCCATCAGGCCGGACAATTTCCATGTGCTTGCGCAAACATTTTCGATCGAAGATCGCATTGAAATGCGGCGTCATTGTGCGATTCAGCTCGACGCGTCAAGCGTTAAAAACTTGAGCGCAACCGACGAATGTGCAGGCGAACGTATTCATTTTTAGCGATGGTATAAAAATGAACGAATGATAATAACAAGTAATTCACTCGCTATAAAAACTGTGGAGAAAACAAAAATGTACGAAAGCGGAGGGAGAACTGAGAGGGTCTCACGCCCGGGTTCATAGACGAATTACCGCTGACGAGCGACTATCGAACGACGGCCATGTCTGTGATCACCACAAGCAAATGAAAATCGTAACGACTACAACAATCAGGGGTGTGTGTGCGTGTGTGCGTGCGTGCACGCGTGTGTGTGTGTGTATGTGTGTGTGTGTATGTGTGTGTGTGTATGTGTGTGTGTGTATGTGTGTGTGTGTATGTGTGTGTGTGTGTATGTGTGTGTGTATGTGTGTGTGTATGTGTGTGTGTGTGTGTGTGTGTGTGTATGCGTGTGTGTATTGTCACGAATACCTCAGAGGAGTGGGAATCTCGCGAGTGCGCGCTAAAATTCTCGGAAACGTATGGGTCGCGATCGACCTTTGTTCCTGCATGCAGGATGTTATAGACGGGGGAGAGGGGCACGTTATCGAGACACAACGTCTGCATTATGTGCGGACTGCTGTGAACAACCCTCTGACCGACAGGTTCGCGTCGGTTCGCGTCGGTTCGTCGTCGCCGACGATTATATTTATATATGTATAGGTTAGATTACGAGAAAAAAAAAAACAGATCCCGTCATCGACAGATGCCGCAGGGCGGGCGGCAGCGGGGACAAAATAATATTTGTAAAACGAAAAACACGTCCAAGGACGATGGGACGGACCGGGCGCAGCCTCTGTTAGATTGGGTTAGATTAAGTAATTTAACGTAGACACGTAAGCAACGATGAACCATTGTCAACGGAAAAACGACACGGAGCGGGGTTCGGATGACAACGCCGTTGACAGTGATGCTTCGTCGACAGTACATTATAGTAGAATAACTAAATGGGCATACGCATTCATAATATTTGTTTAGCGTAAAAAAACCGTGGACTTCATCGCTCCACTCAGTATTTAAAATCGTATACGACATCCTTCGTACCCGCACGCGTGCACGACGGTGACGACGGCGATTACAATATTTCGAACGGACATAATAAATGTTCAATTATTTACAAGGACAGGCTTGGTTTTTGACGAATTATATCACCCACGCCCACGGTTGCGAGAAAACGATATTACATAGTATTATTAATAGTATACAATATTAATTAATATAGTTTAGTACATTATAACTGAATGGTTTATAATACCTGTTTACCGATTTGTGTATCGTGTGTGGGAGATCGTAATTGTTCAACATAAAATCATATGTAGTCATCGCGATAAACGTCCGGCTCCGAATACGTCTGGTCCCTTTGGCGCGCGGCGAAAGACAAAACGATTCGATTTGCGGCGAACGCGAACGAGCAACAATCGTTTACATTCGTTCGCTCGTACCGCTGCTGTTGTCGCGTACGATGGACAATCCAATCTATTTGTATACGTTTGATAATTTTTATCGCCGCGTTCACGTAGGACACAGCGTGAGCGTCCACCGTCGGTGACGATGAGCCACGATAAGATGAAATATTATTGTCGGCGGCCACCCGGAACGTAGCGCACGTTATTGGCGACGGGATAAAAAGAAAAAAAAAACCACTGGTCGGTGACGCAGGTAAACGAAAATATTACGTTCCGGCATATTGTGGGTGTTACGGCGGCGGCGGTAAACGGTGTTGTGTGCGCATCGATTATTAAGCCAAAGGCCCGGTGCACGCGAGCGCTTTTTTTTCGCGCGCGGCACCGCGAGCGCGGCGGGAAGTATCCCCAACCTATGGGCGTACTGCGCACGTAATGGCGGCGACGCGCGTTCATCTGCGTGCAAGTTTTGTCGCGAGTTCTCATCGCGTAACGGTGGGGGATGTAAAAAAAAAGAAAATTTAATAATCGCACACTGTATAGAATACGATAACCGTACAGTGAGATGGCCGTGCGTAGACTTGTAATAATTTATCATTGTGACGTAGACGTCCCCGAGGTCTTCGATGTCGCGGAAATCAGTGACAGGGAGGCGGTCGCCGGCCGAGTCCCTGAGAAACGACGATAAAGGATAACTCGGACGGGCGCGTGGCCATTTTTTTTTTTGGAGGGGATTAGAACATAAAATTGATCACCGACTAGCCAATTATTATACCGATAATGTGCTTTTTTGTTGAGAATGTTAAATTTCGGGGGAGGGGACTTGGAGAAAATGTAAACTACTAATTTTCGTAAAAACCGATTAATTTGGATATTTTGACCGATTACCTGTATACCTATATATATATAAAATATGTATACCTATATATATATATATATATATATATAGGTATACATATTTTATGTCCCTGTATTTTTTTAAGTAAATTCTAAATATAATATGAACAATCTGTAAACATTTTTTCCATACCGTTCGTGATGTCTGATTGTCCGCAAGTTTTGAGAATTCTGGCGTGTAATTAGAAACAGCTGGTCGTAAACTTGAATCTAAATTTCTGGTTTGTCGTTCTCATTCTTGACAAATATTACTCGCAAATGTTGACAACGTCTCGTGCATTTGAGTATTTTTTAGTACTCCCGCATGCTTTGACAACTCCGAGGTGTCGTCAGGAGATTGCAAAAACACGATGTTTCGTCATCCGATTATTTGGCGGCGTGCGTATTGCGCCCATTACCGAAACCTTACTGAAATCGCACAGGGCGGACTATTCGGAGTACGAGTTGAAGTACGTGCGAATAGTCCGCGTTCTACGGTCTCGGCAGGCGAAGATTTCGATAACGGCCGGAGACCGCGCGAAACGCGAAACGCCCGATTGTTCACAACGCGCGACCGAGACCAAATGGGCGAACGGTAAAATCGGTTTTCATTGGGATCGGGACCCGTGTACCCGGAAACGTCGTCCGGTCCCACGGCCGAGGGTCGGCGGGGCGGGGTGACACAGGGACACAACACCGTGTGTGTATGTGTGTGTGTTCGCGCCGGTCTATTGATGTTTAGCGGCCGCGGCCGCAGGGCGTTGTCGGCGGCGTCCGGGCGGGCGGTGAAGTGGCAGCGGGACGTTGCCGTTGACGACGACCGACGTGAAATGGCGTTTCATTGTGTTCGAACAACGGTACGTAACGTTTCGCCGTGGCTCCGTCCGCGCACGCGGTCGGCGGCGGTGACAAAATAATATCTGTAAAACGAAAAATCGTTCCCGTCGGCCATTGTAGCCGCGCGCGTGCGGGCGCGCGGGATACGGGACGGTGACGACGGGGCGGTTACGTTTCGTTTTGGTTGTACGACTCTTCCGTTTCGTCGCCATTAAAATGAAACGTGGAATTTTGTGGGTTTTGGTTTTTTTTTTTTAAAAAAAAATCGGAGGAAAAGCATCCTCCGTTTACGCGAACGGAGAAGAATCGATATTTGTCAACAGTGGAACGGTGGGAGGGAAATTCCCGCGTTCGCAGAGGGGAGCCCTTCGTGGCAAACTCGGTCGTAGGTACGTGGCCACGGCCGCGCAGTACTGGCTATTCGGTTTCATTTGAAAAACTGGTAAAAGCTTAACTGGGTTTGTTATAGGTATTATTGTTCTTTTTTTCAATTAAACAAATAGTTCTCAACGATACAAAAGCCGTTATAATTTCGTTACGGCGATAATAGCGACTTGTTTCTAGTTTGTATTTTCACTTTACGTTGTTACGACAAACGACACGGTTATCGTGAATCGGTGTTTCTTCTTGTTATGGTAAGACTGACAAATCGCGTATTGTGTTGCCGACGTGCGCATTTTAAGGCGTTCTTTTTTATACCGGGTCGTCGGATATTTCTTTATGCCAATAAAAATATGAAAATTATTTTAGTATTCGTTATTCTACTCGTACTTGACATTTATAGCCACAGTATTTGAGATTTTACTAGTTGAATTTTAAAGTCTGGTTTGATAGTTCGAGATAAAAGTTCAATTTTAAATTTTTACTTTGTATATTTTCATAATTATATTAGGATTTAACGGGTAGTTATTGTGATTCAAAACTCCGTAACGATTATGAGACTGAAACAAAAACAATTTACTGTACACATTATATATTTTTTATCTTGGGTTTATGGATGAAAATAATTAGAAGAAAAATGACAAATATCATTAAAATAAACTCTCGAAGAACAAGTCGTAGGTTCAACGTCCGAAAATATTTCTTTTGGAAATCCTATGTTTTACCCGTTTAGTTCCTTTATTTTTGTTTTTGTTAAATACGTTCTGATATTGCATTATCGATACACGTCTACAACCGACGCATAGATTACCACGTGTTTGTCACTAATAGTTGTTTGTATTTTGTAAATTCGATTTTTTGTAACCTCGTACGGGGACGGATAATTTCACTAAAAACGTAATTATAAAACGAAACGTTTACCGGTGGAAACATCGCCGTCAGTCATTATTTCGCCGGCGCGAGGGGAGTGGAGTGGCGGTCAGACTTTGGCAGCGACGTTGGCAACGCCGCGCCGGGGTGGAGCCTGCCGTGACGTCAAAACCGCGATCCGGGTACCAGGATCCCATGGCGCGGGTCGACATGCCGCCTGCAAAGACCGCGGGCAAAATCAAATAACCACTTCACGTCTTTGCCTGTAACCGAAACAAACACCAAAACCACGGAACTGCACCTATCATTCGGCCCGGATATCCGAACATCCGCCGATTGCCGAAAACGCGTCGTGATTAATCCGATACGCTCCGCGCCGAACAGCATCGCATCGCGCCGGTTTACTTTTCCGAACGATCCACTTATGCGCAAATGGCTTTCTCGTAAGCGCGAAGAGTCGATGGTGAAATAGGTGAAATATACGGTTAATTCGACTTGAACTTTTACCCGGTGATGTGGAAAACAAAAGGCTGTTCCGCGTGTCGAGTTCAGTGGCGGTTATTTGATCGTGTAATATCTCAAATGAGAACAGGTACTCTTTGGGTTATTACAATTTTGTCAACTCGCCTTTTAGACACACGTTCCAATACAGAGGATATTTGTCTGGACGTTTTGTTAAACATTCATATCGGATTTCCCGTTGATGATTTGCAACAGTTTATGAATTTATCGTTTAAAAATAGATATTTATTACGTTTTCCTACTCGTTCAGTCTAAATTCTGAAATACTATAACACGTAAACGGTAAATAACGTATCAAAATGTTTAGAAAAATATACTCTATTTGAATAAAATTACTTAGTCTTTGATAGCGACATTACCTACGCCACCAGGAGAATGTGATTTCGTTGAAACCGAGATCTGTGTACCAGGATCTCATGATATGAATCGGTCGTGGCGATTTCCGGTAGATATGTTGTTCGCCCATATAAAAAAAAAAAAATTTTCCTAGACAAATAATATGCCAATATTTCCCTAATTATTTCGATAAACTCTTTTCGTTTTTATGTGACCATTTCATCTATATTAAGTTAGTCGTAACAATATTTAAAAAAAATTCTCCGATACAGGAAAGAAATAAAAAGCCATAATATTTTACTATACATTCGTACATATTCCTGTTTTTTTCCAATTTATTGGGAAATTTATGAGAAAATCATAAAATGATTTCCCTGAAGTACCATTCCAGTCAGTTAACATAATTTTGATAAAAAAAAAGATATGACTGATATGATATCAAATTAAAATATGTGAATTTATTAGTCATCGGAACTGTAGCGAGTATACAAAATAGTGAATGTTTGGCGAATATGCGAGTCAGAGTGCTTTTTAGAAACCCTTGTTAAATAATATTTTCAATCCAATTTTACTATACATTTTTCGGAAACCAACCCTTGAGTTGGTTTCATAATCATTCGAAATCGGGAGCTAATTCAACCGTGCTAAAAATCCCGACAATGTCAAAATCCTGACAATGAAAATCCCGACAGGTATCACCAGATTCATTTCGCACCAACGTGTTACGTTCACATTATTAAATTCATATTTAATACATTTTTTTAAAAGTCTGAAAAATAAATGTGAAATTTTCCTAACTGTCGGGATTTTGGCCCTATCGGGATCTTGACCGTGTAGAGATTTTGAATTCCGTGATTTTGACCCGGACCAAAAAAAAAAAATACGCGTAAAATCATAAACACCCAACCGTTATTTTGACAGATTGACGGCTCGTTGACAGGTTATAAATTATAATACAGATATTATCGTACGAGTGTGGAATCTGCTACAGCTCATCTGCATCTGCCAGACATTGCATTCATATTACATGAGCAGGGAACACGTGATTTATTGGTCTATGAAAAAGTCGCAGTTTATAATATTATTGATTGTCTACTGTCACGACGAATATTTTAAGATAAAAATAATACTAGTAACCATAAAAAAAAAAAACACGGTTCGCCGCTTGTTCAAACAAATCGGGCGTGCGTCCTAAAAAATAAGTAACGTGTTATTATATGTAAGTGTGATTAATCGCTCAAGATACACGAAATTGATTAATCGTATAATATTATATTTATACCTTTATACCGAATCCCAGAATAATACATTATTACGTATCGACCGTATCATACCGTTTTATGAAAAAACGATTATCAAGAAGTGTAAAATATTTTCAATAAAAAAAAAAAAAAACAAAATGATTCTGAGCGGATCTCAGTAAACCGATAATATCATGTGTCATGATTGAGGGTAGTTTTTCCCCTTTAGCAAAATTATTACAAAAATCGACGATTCTAAATAGAACTGTAAATACCCACTCCTATAATAATACAATATCATAATAATACATCTCTTAAACCTAAATAAGTAATGATAGATGCCCGTTTTAAATAAGTCTTCAAAAATCCAAACTGTTAATTATTTAATTATAATTTATTATAATTTTAAGTTTCAACAAAAAAAAATAAATTTTATGTAAGATTTGATTTATTAATTCAAAAGCCCAAAATCGGAGAAAAAACATATTACTAAGGTAAACGGTAAACATCATAATTACCTATGATTACCTGTCTAACTACCAACCTATATCAACCTACATTATTTTTATGAATGTTAATTTGAATCTTAATTGACTAAAAGAAATAAGAGAAAATCCATTATCGATACATTTGGATTTATAATATTATACAAATATGGAAACCATTGAAACTCAACGTGGTAATTACATTAATCACTTTAGAAGTATATACCTCGAAATTCTAAAATAACAATTACATTAAACTTGATTCAACATTAACATCCAAATGAACAGACGCATTTTATTGGTTTCCTCTTCCTACGTTTTGTAATTTAAGCAGCTTTTTCATGGTAATACGGCGAGCAAAAACTGAAAGCTTAAAATATACTTATATAAATTACGAAAAATAACGTCTTCCATTTGAAATATCAGAACAATTGAATTGTGTAATAAATCAAATTATTTAAAAAAAATAATTTACCTAATGGCAAATTAATGAACTGTTGACGATTTTAATGTTATATATTTTTGATTGGAGCTACTTTTACAGATATACCTTAACAATTTAATTGAAAATTAATTACATTGGGTTTGTTTTAATGAAATTATGATAATTAAAAAAAAAAAAAAAACAAATTTAGAAATTTTTATACTTAGTATTGAACTAAAATGTATACAGTGTATCACGAACATAGTATAATCATAGCGATATCTTGAAAAAAGTATTAACTTTTTTCCTGTTTTTTTTTGACAATTAGAGAAATAAGTAAAACAACTCGAACGGTACATTACGTATGAAACGAAAAATTCGGAGCATTCTCACTGAACGGAAAAGCGTTTTTCTAGAGGAAAATACACATCTACGCTACACTAAAAATTCAGAATAAAAATCTCGCAAATTAATGATTAATATTTTTATTTATTTATCGTTTTCATAATACAAAATATATTATTATACTATAGACATAAATAATAACATGTATAATAAACTATAAAAATAATAAAAACCGTAATTTCATGTTTACACGTGTATCGTATTTAACTTCACTCGAGGAGTTTTTTTTTTTTTTTACAAATACCTATAGTAGGTATATAAGTATAAACGGTTTTTTTTTTTGCTTTCGGTTCGGCCGAAAACCTGATAAAACGTCTGCGATTCCGGACGTTAGAAAGTCTGCCCGTGTACGAAAATGGCCGCGGTAAGTATCTGTATAAAAGATTAATAATCTGGTAAGTAGGTAAATCGCATTTAGAAAACTAATTCGAGTGTACACAAACGTAAATCACGGTTGTAATCGCAACCCGCAATATAATAGTCCCGCAGTTATATCGAAACCGGTACGCGCGGTTTCTTATAATAAAACACAATATTTATGTGAAATGTGGAAAACGTGAGTATGATAAGTAAATAATAATATAATGTGGAAAGGAAGAATAATGGAAGAGCCGATTACGTATTCAATCGTATTGAATCGAGGAGGCCGCAATGGAATCCGTAACGACACGGATACGCGAAACGATTGTGTATTACGATGATAACGAAACGTTTTTTTTTTTTTTTTTTTCATATAAAAACTCAAGTATAGGTATGTGCGCATAAAATAATATTTACTACGTTTACGCCGTTAATCCGGATTGAATTTAATACAGGATTAAAATGAGAGACGTTTACTGTTTTGTAAACGTATTATACAGGGGTAATCAACGCAACGTAATTCACTCGTCGTTTTACCTATCTTCGGGAATTATCAACTTTGTTTGTTTTAGAACATTTAACACACGGGTAGCTCTAAACCGGAACCGCCTACGAAATTGATCGAAATTCGACAAACCCAATCCGCGCGTCGTTGGTCCGGTGTAATACATAGACGGATATTACAGGGGACTACGACGAGAGCATAATCCCCTCAGAATGTTTTTATGCCCCGGAAGATTACGGTCCCTCCACAACAATTCTGGATTGACGTATTTATTCGTGCGAATTAGTTTTTATCAACATTATTGCATAAAATGTACGGTTTTCATTAATCGATACATTAGACGGCGACATAACGTTATTGACTGTTGTTAGATTTTAAAATGATACGTTTTAAGCAGTGGCTGATTTACGGGGGATTAAGGGGTCCGGGGAGCCAGGATCCCGCCTGCTCAGACGTCGATATAATTTCAACGAAATGTCGCCTAAGAAATAGGCATTAATTATTAGTTGACTACTCTCGTGACTACTCTCGAAGCAGATATTTATGTTTCAGGACCCCTGCCGGATAAACGTTGAAGCGCCGAAGCGTACAGCACGGATACGTTTCGGGAGTACTACGCGCAACCCGTTTTTCGTCCTGCGAAACACGTACGCTTTACACAGTTATCATTCCTGCCTCGTAGAGTGGTCCGATTTCGTTAACTTTTTTATTTATTATTTTTTGGAAAAATGTAGACTTCTCGTAGGTCGCGTTTCGGATTTTGAATGTCCAAAATTATTACCCAAAGGTGTAATTATTATAGTTTGATTATAAATTAAATATTGTTAAAAATTTGTAAAAAAAAAAAAAAAAAAAAAAACGAGCATGACCCTTAATTAGTTATAGGGTAAAATTGGTGAAAATATGGTTGTAAACACGAACAATAATCGTCATTACTAAACGTACGAAAAATATTAAATTTTATAACAATACAACGTAATACATGTATATATATATATAAATAAATTAAATAAAAAAAAAAAAACACGGAAGAGAAGTGATACAACCGACAAATCGATTTGTCCGCGATGAAAACGAACGGATGAACGGCCCAACGTCGCCGCCGAACTCGTTTTACCGTGTGGATTCGCGTGTCGGACGACCGGATCACCGGTACGCCCACCGGGCGGACGGTAACTCGTAGAGCGCCTCTAAAGGCGACACGTAACGCAAGTACTGCGGTTCGTGATGATGGCCATCGCCGTCGCCGTACGTCCGCTGCTGCTGCTGATGGTGAAGATGGTCATCTCGGTCGTCACCGTCGTCGTACATCCGCTGCTGTAGCTGTTGGTGTTGTTGGTGTTGTAACCGGTAACTGTGTTGCAGGGCGTCGGACAGTACGTACCGGTGTCCGCCGGCACTGAGCACCGTCTCTGCGGGTTTGGCGCCCATGTACGCCGATATCTCGGCCAGCGTCAGCCGATCGTCCGAACCGTCAGCGTCCGCGTCCGACGACGACTGGTGCGACGTGTCCTTATTCTTGGCGGCCGATTTGACCGTCGCGTCGGTGGTGGTCCGATGCGGACCGTTGCCGTTCTCATTGTCCGCCGTCAGCCCGCCGCCGCGCTTCTTGTACTTGGCGCTGTACACCGGGTGCTGCAGTTTGTCGAAACCGTCCGAGTACAGTTCCTGGTGACGGGCGGCAAAGTGCTCGTCCATGGCCTCGTGCACCAACCGTCTGAGTTTGTCCTCCATTTGATGTAGGTCGGCGGTCGGTATGACGTTTTCTGCGGTGGTGGCGACGAAGGCGGCGGCTGTCGGCGTCGGCTGCACGGCTGGCCTGGCGACACGCACCGGGACGTGCACGATGGCCTGCAGCGGTACGTCGCCGTCGTGTCCGTACCCGGTAACGGACGCCGCGGGACGCTTGCGCGACCGGCCGGACATGGACTGCACCGCGACGGCCAGTGGACTGATTGGACCCATACTGTTCGTCCCGTACACCGCATATGCCGCGGCCGTTTCACGGTTGAATTCCCGCTCCGGTCCAAAGTCGAACGGCACGGGTTGCGGGACCGATTCCAAACCGGCGCCGCCGTCGTCGTAATAGTCTACGGCCGCCGCCGCTGGGTCGACATAGTTGACGTGTTGCGGGCGCATCTGCTGCATGGGCAACCGCCTGTACCGGGCCTGCGACATCCCTGCGGCCGGCCTGCGCTTCGGCCTGGGGCGACGTCCAGATTTCTTTCTGAGCGGCCTCTTGTTGTTGAGTTGGCCCGCGGCCACCTTGTACGCCCGCCGGTTAGCGTACGGTGACGTCTGCATGTACCCGAAGGCCGCCGCTGGGTAAAACTGTCTTGCGGATCGACCTGCGGTCGTCGTCTCCACGGGTAGCCCTACGGCCGCCGTGTTTTCGCTGGCCGCGGCGGTGGCTGTCAATTGTCCGCTCGGCTCTATGCTGTTGTTCTCCCGGTCGCCGCTTCTGATTGACTGCAACTCCCTGTAGGGGTCCGGTAAAGTTATTAGTTTAGGTATCGATTATACATTTAACTTGATATTAATGTTATTACAATGTTTTTTAAAAAGTAAAATTATGTTTATTGGTTATTAATATTCTTTTTTCTAATCATGATTCTTGAACAAAAAAAAAAAAAAATAAAATAAAATTCGCATCACTGTCTATGGGTATAGCCACTGTGTTATAAATGGAAAGTTTGCCATGTACAGGATATAGGCTGTTTCAAATTTTATACCGAGACCAATAATAAATCATTTCGATCAAAAAACAATGTTTTCAACGTGTTTTTTTTTTCGTGTAGCCGGGAAATTCAAAAATTAACAAAAATAAAACATCTATAACAGCATTTAATGTTGATTTTAGATTTTGAGTGGAGCGGAGAAGTTTAAAGTTTTACAAAGATTTTTTTTTTTTGTATGTACGCAACAACTTTTTCTGAAAGAAAATCGAGATCAATTTTCGATTTTCTCATCAAATGTTAAAAACCGAAAAAACGGAAGAAAAACGGGAAAATATACTAATTATTTTTATAAAATAATTAGGTAAAAACAAAATTATTAAATCGTTTATATTCGTTGATAATTCGTTTGCTAATATATGTCTATAATTAAATAAATTACTTTTTGACTTTGTTTAAACAACGCATTAGTTAATTTATCGAAATTTTCAGTAAAAAATATTACGATTTTTTTTTCTGTGAACAACTTTGTAATTATTTTACCATAATTTGGTATATATATATTGTTTAAAAAACAACACTATCAACCGGACTCCGCTCAGAATGGTTTTTCCGTTAGCAATAGTTTATCGTTGCTGTACATTGAATTTTTTCTTCTACTACCTTACCAATTTCTCACCTGCAACAGTGGCTGTACCAACGTGCGAATTATGTCCGTCGTTTTTATATTAAATATTGGAAATCTAGATATTGTTTTCAAATAAAGTACCGCTGGAAGTAAAATCCGCATCGTTTGAGGTACGATGTGAATAATTTGGAACATTTGCACCCTGTGTTTTCTGGTGCAGGTAAAAAAAGGTTTTAGTAAAACTGTCTAACGCATTTCACGAAGATAATATACCCATTGTATAATCTCGGGAGACAATAAAAATAATACAATTGTGTATTTTTTTTTTTTTTTTTTTTTTTTTTTATAATATTACTCGTTGAAACGTCAACATTTTCAAAATAATAAACTCTATAAAACGGCCACCTTTGTTATGTTTACTATCTCGGGATATATTGCAGCGGATTACGTATAAGTAGAGGTACCCATTCATAATTTGAACGCTAACACTGCCTACTTGTCTCGTATATTATACTTTCCGTTTATTTACGTTACCGCAAGATTTTCGATACCGTTGCAGAGTCTCGGTTTACCGCGTCCGGTATAATATATACGACCCCCCGGGCGGAATCGAATTAACATTATTATTTAGATACACATAGTTTTACGGTTATTACTTAATTAGAAAAAAAAAAAAGTGTTCATGCCTCGCGCAGTATATTTGGTAGGCTATCGGACGGAAACCGTATAAATACACTGCCAGCGATCGGATCCGATAAAACGGATGTAATTGGTAATAAAATAAAAATAAAAAACAATAATAACGAGCCGCGACCGGTAGAATGATTAACGACGACTCCCCTCGTCCGGTGCACACAGCGCGCAGCGTCGCCCGTAATAATATTACGGTCTGCGAGGAACTCGCTGGAAACCGCTGGAACAATCGCGCGCGCGCGTGTTTTTATATATATATATAAAAAAAAAAAACCTAAAGTAATAACATCCACGCGGTAACCGCCTCGGGTTAGGTCGGGTTAGGTTATCCCGATAAAAACTGGTTTTCCGCGCGGTACACGACCACGGTTATTACCACGATAATTCACCTATCGAAAAACCGCGTCTTCTTCGCGGCGATTACCGTCACGACGACGACGGCGACGACGGCGGCGGCGCGTGTTCGTTTTACGGAAACCGGCCGAAAACTCCGTACGAAACTCCCGTGCACTACGGTACCGCATTTATCAATACGAAATGTGAATCCGTTTTTTACCGTGCACACTTGTACGTGAGCCGGTAAATAACAACGCCGAAGTGAAGACTATTTAGTTCCGCGGAAATCGTACGGTAGTCGCAACGGCTGATGAACAGTTAAGGGGACAATACAATACCGCGGATGCATTTGTTTTATGCAAATTAGTTTTTATCAAATGAAAAAAAAAATTAATTCGTCATAAAACAAGAACAAATTTACTGAACACGTGTGTCCGGGGCATACAGTCTAATATTATACGAATGCGAAACCTGGATCAAAACAACCGAACACCGTGAAAGATTGGGAAGTGTTCGAGCGTTTTGGTACTATGGATAAGCTAGATGGATAGAGTAACCAATGACGGAGTACTGGTGAGAATTTTAGGAAAAACGCTCTTATGGTAAAGTGTAGTTAGAAAACGAAACGATTGGATACCTAGGTCATCACATAGTACGTTACGAAAGATTATTAAAATCGATTTAGAATTATGTTATTGAAAGGAGAGTGAAAGGGAATATCCAACAAATAATAAAGGACAAAGGATACGTATCGTGTATTCAGATGAAAAAGAAAGCGGATGATAGGAGAGAATAGGGAGGAAGGCTACAAACTAATCTGTATTCTGAATTGATGATTGATATTTGAATTTGACTATAGAGAAAACAATTAATAATTATATGTCGATCGGAAAAGAATTCCGTCACCGTTCGATTATAGCAATGAGCGGTGACGTAGTTTTTAAGATATTCCGTTATCGAGGGAATGAATATCGAATTTGAAAATTGTATCATACAACGAATAAATACGAATCAATTTTAAAAATGTAAAATACAGTTCCATGTCCCAGTTATTCTTTCCGGACGTATTGAAAGGTATTCGAAATATTTTGAAGGACAGAAAGTAGCATAAATGAAAAAAACAAAATTCCAAGGGGAGTATATCTATCCTCCATCTGCCACCTTAAATACGTCACTAACGATAAGTAGTGTGTTTTTAATTGTTTGTCGTAATACGGATTATTTTTTTTTTTTTTTTGACATCGTGTTTGTCGGACGCTAGAAACGAACACCTAATCTCATATGATAATTGTGATAATTTAATAACAGTTATTTATTCATGCAGACCGAATAGTTTAAGAAAATTGTCGATTACTTATAAATTACGGATAAGATAAATAAAGTATAGAAACTTACGTGCAGTGAGCGATCGCCAACATCGAAATCAAGACGAACATCTGAAACCGAAATAATATTTATTAGTGTTATACATTATATACAGGCAGTGGCGTGGCGAACTTAAATATTTTCAGAGGCAAGAATTGTATTCCAATAGTCACCTACCTATCGACGAATCCACGAACCGTCCGAATTGGCTAATATACATGGAGATTTAACACCGAGTTTTTATCGCTTTCTTCAAAATTGTCACACAAGTAGACCCTTTAAAAAAAAATCAGAGGCGATCGCCTCTCGATTACCCCCTTCGGCAAGCCACTGTATACAGGTCTACAAGGAAGCGCCTCAAACTCCCGAGCACAGTGGTGGCGCGAAATTTGTCTTTTCTTATGAAAAAGTTTCATTCAAATTTCTTCAAACAATCCAAACGAAAAATCAGGAATTGTAACTAAGACTACTAAACGTTCCTGCACTTCACCTTTTTCGTTAACATAATATTTAAGGGTTCAGGACAAATGGATGCGGCCATTGAGACTCGGTTAGATAAACGTGAAGAACATGTAAACGTAGCCACTTGATCGCAAAAAAAAAACAATATTAAAAAATATTGTATATAATATTAATGAGGATGAAAAAATGTCAATATAATTAAATGTATTATACATGAAAAAAAAAATCGTATTGATAATTAATTAAAATCGACTATGTATCTAAAAAATGTTATCTCTATAAAGTATACTGATATTATATTTATTTTTATTTTTCATAGGGGGGGGGGGGTTTTCTCTGTTTCCAATTGATCGTAATAAAAGTCTCAACTGACTTATATTTTTTTGAGAGCGCTTTATTAAATGCGTGATTTTGGATATTATTATAGAAATGCACGAGAAACAAAAAAGTTCATATTTTGTGTTTACATACGTATTCCGTGAATATTAGCCTCCTGGTGTGACAATAAGGTAATACTCTAATTTTTAACCGAGACTCCTCGATATAAATACTTTCTTAGTAAAAATCACAATCACTCGAATTTGAGTATCGCTATAGAAACAGTGTTCCGACAACACTTCGACAAGATAAAATTGAAATATTGTAATTATTAAAGCAATGATTCAAAACTCTGAATACGTATTAAGTAATATATTTACATAAGCTAACAGTGAAAATGTTTGGCCTCTGCGATTATTTCTATAACCAAATTCTAAAAAAAATAACCAAAATTGTAAATAACAGAAACCATTATTGCGTGAATTTTTCCGGCTTTTCCCAGTACCCATTTATCCTTTATTCCCAGTTTTTCCTCAATTATTTAGTAAATTAAAAGTGAAATCAAATAATATTCTCCTCAGTGAACCACCTAGACAGCATTTTTCTCAAAAATCCATCCTTTAACGTGGAAAATCGGAGCAAGATATCTTGTAGACAAATTGTTCACAATAAAAAAAGAAAAAGAATAATACACATATAGTAAAACCTATGTTATAAAACTCGGAATAGTAAAAAGAAAACCGAAAGAAGAAAACCTAATACTGAGACCGGACGTCACTCGTAATACCGTGTAAAATTGATACTTTTCAAACGTACCTATATACGGTTATTTCCCCGAAACAATTTTAACGACAAAAAAGCCATCGCAGATGACGTATTATTATTGAAAATCGAATTTTTTAAAGTACATACGACAATATATTATTACCGCGAGAAATTTTTTAGTACGTTCGCGAATTGAAATACAGTAGGAGCCGCTTATTAGGAACACTTTGGGACAGTTAACCGATTGTTTCTAATAAATTTGATTGATTTGATATACGACCGTTCCTATACATTTTGTTTCGATAACGCGATTGTATCAATTATCCGCGTTTCTAATAAGCGGCTTCTACTGTAGTTCATTTACATTTTCTATTTGCTTATTATTTTTCGTAAAAACCGTAGTTTTTCTCTAAAATGTCCAAACAATATGCAGACCAAATCAAAACGGGTAATATTAAACATTATTTTCAAGGCTTATTGTATATTTCTTTAGGTTGTGCGCTTTACATCTTTGGCCACAAAGAAGTTTGGATTAAGTTAATGTTGGGCATTCTTGTTTTCTTTTGCGATTGGTTTCCCTTTATTTTTTTTTTATTTTTTTTTTTTTTGTACTACACGGCATAAGTGTATGACTATACACAATAACAAATGTTATAGTGAAAATTAAAATAATATCACGAGTCGCTATACAATGTAGTTACTTTTGGCCCGGCAAAAAAGTTAAATTGTCTACGATAAAATGTAGCAATATTTAGCCATTCGGCAATAAATGACGTGCCATTGCGCCAATTATCTACAACCTATCAGCTTGCTATATGACGATTATACGAAATCAACTGGAGCGCTTATTCTGCGGGCCAAAAGACGTAGTACGAACACGCAATATTAAAACCGAAACAAACGCGTGATTATCAAATGTTATTATTACGTTTTGAACGTACGAGATAAACCAAAATGGTACTCACCATCTCGGTTCGCCGGTATCTGTTTTTCACTCTCGATAAATCCACAATAATATATTTATATATATATATATACGACGACGGTATAATATTACACGGCAATCGACCCTCGCGAAATTGTTACTATTGTTGTACTCGACTCGTGCGGATTCACGCGTTCTCGACGGTATTACGAAACCGTGGTCGATCGGACCGCATAGCTTCTACGCGGATACGTTTTATAAAAATATTAACGCGCGGTGAAAAAAAAAAAACAAAAACAACCGTTCGACGCGGCTACGACAACAATACTATCCGAAATCGAACGAAAATCGCATTGTAAAAACTCCCGAGCATATTTTCAATTGTTTACTGTTACCTACGGTGTTCTCACGATACAGCGAAAACGACGCGGCGGCGACGGCATTGAAATCAAGACACGACGACCTCCGGTAGTGTCGCGGATCTTTTATAAGCTTCCGCGGCCCCGGCGTGCTCGCGAGGGAGTCGCCAAATGCCGCGGCGGAGGGAGTGCCGCTGCGGATGCGTGTGACCGGCGGCGGCGGCGGCGAGTGGCGACGGCCGGCGCAGGCTTTCCACAGATCGCACGTACCCGCCGCAGACGCGCGAATTTCTCCCGTTTCACCGATACGACGCGACCTAAGAGGCGGCTGCGGAACCCGCTAGAATATGATGTGCACACAACAGCACCGTAATAATCGTAACAACAATATTGCGCTGTGATCGGGTGTCGTTGCGACGACAGAGTCGACCGAAAACGGCGCGATCATCGCGCATTTTTTGAATTTCGTTTTCCTCCCCCTCGCCACTAAGCGATAATCGCGATTTTACGGCACCGCCGCCGGTGCCTCCGCGGACGATGCGAGTGTTTCGACGGCGGAAACTGTAACGCACTACTGATTTCCAATGATGTTATTATTATTATTATCATCATCTACATCGTCCCTATAATAATAATAATAATAATAATAATAAAAACAATTATAAACGAAGTTCGTAATAATTTATTGATTAGGTGGGGTATATATTGTACCGGTAGAGAAATTGTTACTTCATATTGCACTCGGATTCGTGTTGCCGGTTCTCTGACTAAGGTAAACGGTTATTATTATTAATTTTTTTTTTTTTTTACTAAGTCATTACTAGATTTGGCTCATCGCGCATCGGTTAAACTTTTTATATTATATAATTTTGCATCTTTGGTCCCCGGCCTTAAGACATTTTTTTGGAAAATAAAATAATTTTACCTAATGCAATTTGTCTCCCCCCTTTACATTTTGGCCTGAATTGAGTAGGTGTTTATATTCTATTCTAATTAAACAAAATTGATTCGAGCTCTTTTCACCTGGAGCCAAAACGTCATAATGTTCCTACATAATAATATGATGTATGCCAGCAACAAAATCGCACATATCGTTTAATAAACAAATTTAACAGTGTAATAATAATAATGCAAAATGCAATTATAACTTTAGGTATAATAAGCATAGTAATTAATTTAAAATGGGTAAATTTTAGATTTTGAACGTAACGAAAAACATATTGGTTTCCGGGTCTATGGCTTATACTGGCTATAATAAAACGTGCAATAGCTTGTATAAAATTATCGTGTGTAATATTTTTTAATTAACGTGAAATAGCTGTGTAATGAATAACAATACGACAGTATTTAGTGTCCAAGTATAGAGAGGCCTAATATAGTAGTATTAGCACATAATATATGAGATACTATATTGACTATTAAGTAAAAATGTAAAATTTTGTATTTTATTATATTTTGTGAAATTATTATATTCCGTGCAATTTTTCGAATGATTGAGAAAAATCGTTGGAAAACGGATAAATTAAAGAAATAACAGGTTCGAAATTCTATTATAGCTGCATAATATGGCCAATAGGTCAACTTCAGGGCTTTGAAAGCCAGTTACGGCGAACAGGGTGGTTTGCGAATTTCATAAATGGATTTGCAAATTCTTGAAAATCAATAACTATAATAGGAATATTTTAAAGGTCTATCACGTTCAGGACTAGACTACAAAACGAGACTTAGAAAATGTCAGGTCTCTACTATTATTTACTTAAAAAACACCAAATCGAAAATAACAGAAACCTTTATTACTTTAACTGTGCCGTTTTCCGTCGTTTTTCCCAGGTTTTTCTAATTATTAAGAAAACTGCGTACAAAGAAAAAAACGACTTCCTCAATGCATCAACCAGATAAAATTGTCTACCAGAAATAACTTCTGAAGGCTGAAGTATATGATCGAAGCAAGATTTTTAGTTGAAAAGTTGTTTATAGACCAAAAAACCACACACATTGTAAACCAATAGCTACATTCCTCGTTCCACTAAAAATTTGTGTAACCAAATTTAATAGTTAAAATTATAGGTTTTCGTTTGAAAATCAAAATTGCATATTATCGCATTTAATAATAATAGTGTATATATAAAAAAAAAGGAGAGACTAAAACGTGTCGATTACAATAATAATATACCAATATACTATACCTACCTAATTTGTGTATAAACATTTTTTTTTTAAAGAAAAATATTATCTTAAAACTTTCTAAATTGCGTAACGTTATTCGCTGTACTTTTAAAAGTGGTTTTTGATGTAAAGCGCTTCTTTAAAAACTAAAAATACATTATAATAATATATTTTAACAAATCTGTCGGAAGGAAAAAAAGAAAAGTAATGACGGCGAATTACGAAAAAAGTGGTTTGCCGACCACTCAGTTCCTACATCAGAACTCGTAAATAATTATTATCAAATAGTATCAATATAATTTCGCACGTGCTCGTGTTTGTGTTGAAGGTCAGTATGCCGCAATAATTTCGCTCGTGATTTCACGTTCTGCGAGTAGTTTTATTGTTCTTTTTGAACTACAGTTTTGTCATACATTTTGAAGTTTTTGAGCTAGCTTTCCAATTTCGTCGTATTTCATTATATAAAAAAAAAATAATCTCACACAGAGTTATTTTAAATTTATTTTTTTATGAAACATCGAAATTATATTTATTGAGGTTCATTTAATTGTATAAGCCGTGATACTCGCATTTACTGTCATCTAGTCCAATTATATTACAGGCGAAATGGCAAAATTCACAAATTAGAATTAAAATTGCTGCGATAAGGTTGAAATTATAGAATTTAAACACAGAAAACTAAAATTCAAGAAAATTATAATATTTTCGACTTTTTCATCAAAAACATTTCCAATTGAAAATAATTACTTTTTTTCTCCTTCATCTCAACTTTTTGGGATCGGTCACTGTCGATCTAAACTACTACTTGATACGATCTCCCATTTAACATACACTGGCTGTCCTCAAATCATTTTTAAAACTTATACTCTGTTTTACTTATAATTATTCTTAGGCCCTTTTCTTCAAGCGCTACTCAGACTACTTTCCATTCCTCAAGTCTATTGTCAGCTTATTCCAGAATTTCTCCTATTAAACCTATATTATTTGCGAACAGCATGCGTCATGGTAATTCTTGTCATGTGTTTTCCCTGTGCACATCCAAAATGGGACAGTACACAAAAGTCGTGTTTAGAACTCCAGATATTGTTTGACAGATTTTACACCAGCTGTCGATCTGACGCAATCCTATTTGTCGTCTCTTACTACAGATAGAAAATCGTGGGAGTATTTTAACCCCTTCTCACAAGAAGACTCAATTGAAAACAGTTAAAAATTAAAAATCAACATGGTTGTAATTCTTTTTTCTACGATCAACAATTATTTTGCTATGTTACAATATGCATATGTAATTTCGTAATTTAAACTAACTATTCGTACAATATTGCATGTTAACAATATTTTGTTGTTGCCTGGGTTGTGCCCATTCCTAAATGTCACCCCACTAATTTATTTATTTACTTAATTAATTTATTCACAAATTATTAGAACAACATTGTTTTATCAATGTTTTCAAAATAATTCGAATTTACAATTAACCAAATATTGTATTGCATTGATATTTTTAATTTTGTGTTCAATATGTATCTAATATTCATTATCGATAATATCGTTATCGCTGAATTTCATTGCTAAATATTTTATTATTGAAAGTATTATAATAATAATCATTACAAATTATTACCTATAGTTTTGTTAAGATATTATATTACCATGGTTTTTCTATTNTCATTCTGCATATACAAACAAAAATTTAACGAACATATTACAGTATAGGTACTACCGTACGTAATGATTGCCACTTCCAACGAAAATATTTTTGTGAGAAGCAATAACTGTATAGCAACAACGATAAAAATGAAGTTGAAATAGCTGATGATCATCGGATTGTGTATTTATTCAACATTTTCAACTCACAAATATCAAGATAAATTATTAAATTTTGGAAAATGTCTGTCATAATTTCTATTGCTTTTGATGACAAAAAACTCGGGTAATTTACCTCATCGCTGATAATGGAATCGAAGATACGCATTCTATTCCAGCTTGGAAAAGGGTACTTTGTGGAAAACAATTTTATTAGTTACGGTATTATGTTACACATTAATATTCAAATTATATTTACTTCTCCGACAAGCATTTTGTATATCAAAATCCCAAAGGCCAATCGACACTTCGTGTGTACGATGTATCTATTAGGATTTCTGGCGCTACGAATTCAGCAGTCCCGCAAAATGATGCTGTTCGATCGCCAAATTCCATATTCAATTTACATAAACCATAATCAGCAATCTTTATGTAACCGTCCGTTGACATAATTAAATTATTCAATTTTGTATCGCTAACCAATAATAAACGCACCATATTAACAACAATGTAATATGTAAAAATGATATTTAAAATTGTACTAACCGATAAACGATGTTGTGTTCGTGTAAATCTGTTACACCTAGCACCACACATGCGGCATAGAACACGGCTTTTGGTTCCGTAAATGCTCCGTTATTTATTATGTGCCAATTTAAATCCCCGCCTGCAGAGTATTTCATGACAAAACAAGCATGGTCCTGTGAACAATAAACCAATTAATTTTAAAATACAAAAAAAATAACGTTAAAATAATGTTTGACTGAAAACATGTGAACATGTTTACGAGAAACGGATGTGGATTGTTATTTACAATCATTACATTTTGGTGCAGTAAGAACGATCTAACTAATTTGATGATGTTTCAAAATAAATGTTTTTTTTCCAAAACTAGTAAGAAACATTATAGAGAAAAATTGAGTTAAATACCTAGCAATAGAAATATTTCACTAGAAAATCATTTTTATAATTAAAAATTATAATAGTAAATACAATTTAAATTTTAAATAGTAGGTAATAAAATACTGTTTTTCAAACCTATAATTTCATAGTTATTAATTTTTTAACTAATTAAAAATTTCAGATTATGAGCGAAGCGAGAAATCTAATGGTTTTACAATGATTTTTATTTTATTTATTTTTTTTTATCTGCATACACAATTTCTACCAGAAATCTTGATCCGATGTATGAAGTGTAGCACTTTTTCTGAAAGGAATTATAGGGAAAAATAGAGAAAAAACTTAAGAAATCATGAAATTTACGAAAATAATGTTTTTATTATTTCAATTTTATTTTTTTATTGTAATTAAGTTCAAAATCTTCGTAAAGAATTGAAATTTGGACAAAAATCTTATGCTTGGTTTCTTTAGACGTAATCAAATTTTTAAAACATTTGATTTTTAATTTTGCGAGTTTTTTACGTCAATTTTAATCGGTTTAGGTACTTACCTACTCTGTGAATAAAATGTTTAGACTAAACAGAAATGATTAAAAATTCAACAGGAAGTTCATTATAGATTGTACTTTGTAGTAATAAAAAAAAACAAAAAGTGTAATGTACTAAACTTTCGCTTAAAGCTGTGAAGCTAATTTATCCCCCCCCCACCTCGACAATGGTCCTGGGGAAATATTTCTCAATAATATCGCACGATCGATTTCGTACGTAGTATAATATACGTGCACATACAATAGTATATTTATTGACCAACGCGCGCAAGTTATCGGTAACGAGGGACGATGAATCGGGATTTTTATCACCGGAAAAAATCCCTCTTTTCCTCTTTTATTCCTCCCATCCACCCGAATTAACTTCCGTAAGCACTGGAGGAGACTATGCCGCGGCGGCCAAGAGAAATCTCCCGCGCCGCCGGCGTGTGCGGCGAACCGAAAATATCCGGAACTAACCGAATATACAAAAAAATATATTAAAATATACCCCCCCACCCAAAAAAAAAAAAAAACGAAAACTTTAAATTAAAACAAATGATCGTTCATGTTGTTTTTTTTTCGGAAGTGGAGTAGAGACGGAAGGTATTTACCGAAAATAATACGCTATAAATTTTAATTTTACAGCTCAAAATCTCCGTTTTCCGCGGCGCGTATCGAAATCGAAATAATAGTAATTANTATTATTATAGTATCGTATTTGATATTTATATTTTTTCCCGCGACTATGACACTCTATAACGTCATTATTACGACCACGTCAATATTATTATTGAAATACTATTAAGCCGATGTTATTATTATTATCACGCTTTCGACAGCCGCCGCCGCTGTTGACATTTAAAGTTTAGGCGATATAACATGGCTGTCGTTTGCAAAACGTCTTTTGTACGAGGCGAACGCGAACGCGTAAACTTTACTATCGCTTGACGGATTATTATCGAAAAGTAGTCATTCCCTCGTAGAAAAGCTAATAATAATAATAACAGTATACGATATCAAGTGTAGGTCCCACCCTGCATAACGGATAAACGGGTGGATTTTTTACTGGCGTCAGAATGCCGCTAGTTTCGTTCGTAACGCTCAAACAACGGATTGTGTTTTTGTTTTTGTTTTTTTTTTTTTTTTTTTTTTCGAAAAGTTAAATTAACGCGCAATAATCGGCTGAAATCATATATAGGATATTCTCGCGGCGTAAACCGCATGATGTAGAAATTCCAAAGACTCCTATATTAGAAAATATTATAACGCCACTGAGGAGATTACTCTTTACGTACGGAAGTGAGGCCTGGACTACGACTAGCGCGACGGAAAGGAAACTGAGGACTTCTGAAAATAAAGTCCGGAAAAAAATCAGAGGACAAGTGGACCCGTATTAGATGTCCACATAGGTGAATGGCGTAGGAGTTACAACAGAGAACTACAGGGTATTTTGGAAACGGAAACGATAACCATATTTCGTCAAAGGCCAGAGGATAGCCTAGAACGGCCTAGAATGACCTACAATGGTTTAGACACAGTATACGTTGGAAAGAAAATGAACCATTAAGAGCGGCCCTTGAACCTAAGGGAAAAGGCCACAAAACAGACCCAGAAAAAGATGACTGGATGGAGCCAAGGAAGACTTTTCCCTTACTTTAAGGATTTAGTTCTATATATAGACTATATAGAACTAAATCAGTCAAATTAACTAATTATGGAATTTCAACAACATTTAAACGACTCAACAGTTGTCCATCTCAATTTTTTTAGAGATTCAGTGAATTACCAGTACTATATTCAATCCTCTGCTCCCTCCCCATTTCTTTCAACATTATTGTCATTATTTAAAAAATTTAAATAATGGCTACGGGGCTTATACAGTCGTGTTATCTCCCGTGATCCAATCTCAACTAAAACCCGCTATCCATATGACCGTAAATCGTATAGTGGTGCTAACGCTATAATACCATATAATTATCACATTTTATTTTCTTTAAGTTTCCACTCGTTATTTCAACAGCAAAGTTATAATTATAACTATAGTTTCAAAATCATTAATTATTATCCTACATGTTTTCATATTATCAATTTGTATCTATCATCGATCAATAAACAATACCTATACATATTTGATTTGTTTATTATTATTATATTATGGCCTTCATTTTATCGGTCGTCCTCCTTAGAAATGTATTCCGAAAACGTATATACGAGTGTATTATAATCAAGTTTTGAATTTCGCTGTTTCGTATTTATTTTATCTTCAATAGGTACTAATATAATAATTGTTATGCCTAAAAGCGGTTCCGTGTCCGTTAATAAAAATCTAAAAAATACACTCACATTAATATAAGTCCAATATTGTATTGTGAACTTCGGGAGAATATTATTGTTTTTTTAAATAAATTATACGCGCATTTCGTGACGAGAACATTATACAATCATATTTCCGTTAGATTTCACGGATGGATAAAAATATTGTTTGTTTTTCTTTTTTTTCCACGGTAATGGCTGCAGGTATACATATTTTATAGGTATATCCGTACGAAAACATAATAATTTATAAACAACTAGGTAACAGAGGTTTGGACCTCTGCAACGTTTATCTATTATAATCGCGGACGTCATGCGGTATAGGTTTCTAATATTTCACGATACCTATCACGACTATTATATTGAAATATTGAAATATTTTATTATTTTATTGGCTTACTGTGTATAAATCTCGAATTATTTTTCGGCGTGTAGTAAACATAATAAAGACTTAAACACTGCGTCACGCCGTACCGAAAAAATGCGATGATGAATATAAAACAAACAGAGATATTAAGTTGTTTTAAAAAAAAAAAAAAAAAAAATGGTGATTTTTTTTAATGACGTTATTTAGGAGAAAGTCGCATTTTAAGCATTTGTTGTCTAATTTTTAGCCTTGATCGGAATTTCGGTTGATCACTGGCTTTTGGATCCGAGAAAAAACATTTCGAATTATCGAAATGTAATCGATATGTGGTTAAATTATTGATTATTATCCTATTTTCTGACCGAACTTCACGTCTTTTTCAACGAAGATTTTTACGTTTGGTAATAAGAATACGCGAATTAAACGCCACGGAAATGTGTATTCCTATTTCTTTGTAAATGTAAAAATCGGAAATATTACCCACTTATTAAACGAAAGACAAAATAAAATGAAACGAGTAGTTTATTTAGTCGTCGGCAAATTTGGTAATTTTTCTCCCGGACTATTTGTAAATATATTTAAATCACGCTAATGGATATTTTTATTTTCAAGTGTCAAGTTTACATATTTTCTATATTATAAATATTGGTTTTATACGTGTGAAAATCTGTAATTTATAAATCCATTCTCTATAGTCTTTATTTATTTACTGTTCGTTCAACAATGGAAGTAATAATCATTTGTCACGAAGTTATTACCGACGAAAAAAAAAACGAGTTATTCTTTATTGGTTAGGTGCCCTATATTGGGTAGCATTTCGATCATGTGCCATAAACAATATCGGTATTTTAAAAATGTCATGATTGTTTAGAATATTATACTTTTCAACGTTTCACCACATCACGACTCAATTGAAATTGTATTAAAAATTATTTTTTTTCGCATAGTAAATGTTCGTACACGAAACACGTTGAACGTAAGTACATACATTACCTACTCAGCTAAAAACACATAAATGTAAATATGCAAACTTAAATATAATATTAAGAAAGAAACTCAAAACTTAACCTTTCGTCCGGAACAACAACGTGGCTGCTGTCCGTCAATCGACCGCACGGATTGAAAAATCATTTTACAGTAAATCGAAATGGACACGGACAGGGGGCGGCGGTTAATCGAAAAATATATTTGTCTATTTTTTTCCTGAATCATGTTTAAAAAACATATATAAGTAGAAGTATATATAATTAAATTACCCATGAATTTTATACAAGCTGCCAACATCCTGTATAAGACAAGTAATATGTGAAGTGGGCGTATTATTTAATTTACTTAACGAATCGTAATAATTTTCTACGTCCATCGAAAGTACATGATAAAAAAGGACGGACATACTTCGCATGTGGGTGCAGCAACTGTTGTAGGTGGGAAGTTGGGAATATAGACGGGAATTTAATGTATATCTGTAACCAACGGTAACCCATTGCTAACGGAAATACAATTCTGAGCGGAGTTCAATCGATTTTTCAACAATATATGTGTCATATTACGGTAAAATTATTACAACAATGCACGTTTACATGACAACAATGATTGTTTAAAAAATATTATAATAATAAAAACTTAATAATAATAAAAATTAAATAAAACCGGTTGCCAATGAAAACCTTATTTTTAATCTTTCAATCTTTTTTAACCTAAAGAACCAGGTTTTCCACATTATCTCAAATATTAATGAGTATTTCAAAAAATGACCTCTTTAGACTTCCATTTAGAGAACATTTCATTTCAGAAAAGGTGCTATACTTGATAATCGGAGTATGCTTTCTGGTAGAAGAAAAAAATTAATTTAAATATCATTGTAAAACCAATACAATCTATGTTCCACTCAGAATCTAAAATAGTTTATTAAATATAGTTTAGTTAAAACTATTATTTATTAATTCAAAGGTAGAGCGTGTGGAGTAGATATGCAGTTTCACGCCTTTACCTCTGAAAAAGTCGTTAATATTTTAAATTTTGTTAGTTTTACAATGAAGTGTGTTTTTTTTATTTTTATGTGCATGTAAACAACTTTTTGATCAGAAATCCCGTAACAATCATCAATATCAAGGGTACTTTCTGATAACTAATCTCATATAATCAATGCATTAGAGAAGTCAATATTTTGATTTTCCTTGTCATTTTCATAATAATTGAAGGAACTGGAAAAAAGAGGAAATTTAAACAATAACGGTTCATGTTATTTTCGATTTTTTTTACTATTTTTTTTTTTTTTTTGCTGTGATTCAGTACAAAAAATAATATAGTAATCCGACATTTTCACCAAATACTCGGTATATCAGTATACTTCTTAAACGTGATAAAATTTTCATAATTTTTTAGCTTCTTTTTTTAGGTACCAATTGTTATTGTTTTATTTGAAATTGTTCGCATTTATATGCAGATTCTTCATATTCTTAGAATTTTTAACTCCGCCTAGAATTATTAATAATCAACAGTAATTCTTATTATAATATATACCGAAAGTATATCTATTTGCTATCCGGTTGATGTTATTATTTTTAGATTTTGAGTGTAGTGAAGGATATATTCCTATACAATGTTTACCAGGAACCAATTGGTACACGTATTTTTTTATTTGGGAACCAATTCCTTAGTTTTTTAAAAAAATGTAGCAAACTGAAGAAAGTCAAAAAAGAAAAATAAAACAATAATTAATTACGAAAATTGCTGATTATCGTGTGACTTACGATTTATACTTAAGTACCTATAATTAAGTAATTTAACCGGTTGATTCGTTGGTTTTTCTCTAGACGAATAGGTACAGTGAGACAAACGATTTAGGTAGGTATTTCATTTTCACTTTTCGCCAGAAACTAAACGTCTAAAATTACGAATGCCTCTGATATACAGCACTCGCGAACCGAACACAGTCTGTGTCTGTAGGATACCCGTTATTATCATTTAAATCACGTTAACACGCAAGTAGTTATTTCGTTCGTCCTGTTTGAAAACGTCGACCACATCACACTATACAAGATAATAAGACGATTTCATTTCGCATTGTAAAAAAAAAATATATAAAAATAAAAAAAATAAAATAAAACATGCAACTTAACAATAATCTCTTTATTTATATGTACTTTCATTGAACGTTTCAAAATCGTTTTGTTCGGGAAAGCAGATGTTCATGACGATAGTAATATTATTATGCAGGAAAAGGGAATACGATCTCAATTCCAAAACATGTCTCTTACCAAAAAGTAACAAAACAAAATAAACGTTTTTATGTTTTTACATTATGTTAGATACCGGGATACGGAAATCTAAGACACGCATACAAAACATTCTAAAAAATATGTATACGTTTGTCATATTATTTTTATTAAGTAGTGGTACAACGTACGATGGTCCATATATGGCACTACAAATGTAAATTTCCAAACTTTTCTATGTATAGTGTATTTTTTGTAAGTGAATCCATACCTGCAAAGTTTACGAAACCTTTTTTGTTTAACTTTATGTGTAACGAAAAAGTTATTTGTTTTTATTTTCTCTCGGAAAACTTTTTTTCGGATAGTTAAAATGGTACTTTATTGAAAAAATTGTCTAGATTCTCCACAGTTTTTCTAAAAAATAAAAAAAAACTAATAACAAATAACGATACATCCGTTTTTTTTTTTTTATTATAATGATTTATCGTCACTTGAAGTATGTAAACTAAACTATCTTACGAGTCTATACATCTTCCAAACGTCTTGTGTACTTCGATAGTGGCCAACTCACGGTCCGGTACTTTATTTTACAAATATTGCCGATCTTTAATAAAGAACGTTCCTCCGTCACCGCTTGTACACTCATAAATACACAAAAAAACATATTACCTCCTATATAACATCAAGAAAACAACGAAGTACACTTATTCGAACCTATTTCGCTTCTTACTAAGACGGTTCTAGGATTCGCAGTTTGCGCTAAATAGTATGCAAATATGACAATTTTCAAACCCTAAAATAATCATATAATATTGTTAGTCGATAATAATGGCTATAGAGAAAAGTCCAGACAAAAATATCTGAAATACGTACAGATAGGTAAGAATTTCGAGAGCAAAATATAGCGCAATAAAAAAAATGTAATTTAAATGTACTTTTTTTAATATACAATTTTTTTCATGGATGCAATATTTTCCTTTGGCCATTTTGGTGTATGGTCATTTTTACCGCGACCATTATTACCATTATACTCCATGATATTAAACTCGTAACGAAAATATTCATAATTACCTATTATCCTATTACCTATACTGACCTAACATATACTGGCTACTGTTAAGTAGCTACAAGTATTTTTCATATAGTAAGTATTATAATAATAAAGATACAGTTCGCCCGTTCGCGGGTCGAACTGCAGGTCTGGCTTTGACTGCAGTAACCGTCGAAGATGTTTAGTGATTTAGGCGATCCGTTTAGGAGATGTTAATAAAGTATCGACGTACATTACAATACGGCACGGACGTGGTCTACGCGTTAAGTGTTCTATACGTATATACGTGTACGTATTACGACCGGGACCGGAGGCGGTCGAGATCGTTGTCGGAAACATAATAATAATAAACGTGCTAAATAAATTAAAATTACGTCTGTCGGTCAAACGAATCGATATCCCAGCCGCCGCCGCCGACAGTGAAACTCTTCTGCGCGATATAATATTGTAATAATCGCTGACGCAACAACGGCGGGGGGGGCTAGGCGTGAAAAATGATTTCCCGTAACGTTCCTACAAAAGCGTGTCCGTCATACATCATAATATTTGAGCGTTTTTAATCGTTACAGGTCTTGTGTCCGTAATCATAAATAACGTCGTGCGTCGCGGAGGGGAGGGGGTGAAGGGGTACTAAATAAATCATTCGGCGCGCAACAAATAATCTACATAATTCCGAACATGTTTCGGTAAACATTCACGAGCGGAGATCAACGCGTATTAAGTATAATATATTGATACAGGCGTACTTAAGATCGCGTGCTTACCAGTGGCGTTTGGTCGTAACGTGCTCAGATTTTTAAAATATTCGTACAACCGGAATCCGACGTCCGCGGTATTGAAACGGCAAAATTTTGCGAATATATTCGAACGTCCACGGTGTTCGGATATCTATAGTACTATTCGGATTTTCGCGCTTTCAGAGTTTGTCAAACATTTATATTCATTGTGCGATAAACTGTATGGGGGACTGTACGGGTCTTGGCTGTATAATATATTATAATATTTTGTTAGTCGTTGTTGGTCGTTACGGGTTTTAGCATGGTTTCAGTGGGCTTCCATTTAAAAAGCAACCCCGCAAACGGTATTCTCGATTACATTCATGAAATTTTCATGAACATTCGATTAATATAAATATTTGAATGATACTATAGTGTTGGGACATATATTCAGATTGTTATATCCGGATAATCTCGATTATCCGTAATATTCGAATATCAATTATTGCATTAGGATTTCTGTACTTTCAATGTTTCCCAAGCACATATGTGTTTTCATTTTAATGTGTTCGTAACCATTTATATCCCAAATATTATTGATTATATTTTATGAATATTCGATTAATAAAAATATCTGAATATTAGATATACACATATATTACGTTTAATATCCAAATATATCCGAGTAGTATAAAATCCGAATATTACCGAATTGATTTTTATCAAGATTTTAAAATATCTCAGTATCCGGATTGTTCCAACACTAATAGAGTGTTGTAAATAGTGCGTGTAACACTCGAATAATAACTACAGATATACCTATTCGGATTGTACAAAATAATTCAGAATAGTACGAATGGCCGAATATATTCGGATTACAGCAATGTCCAAATCCATAATTTTAATATATCCGAGTATAATTGAAAATATCCCGATAGTTTCAATACTAGTAATTATGACTGTAAAAACTGTTGCTCAATGTATGTTCTTTAATTCGTATGGTAAAAATTTGGTGTACACCCGAGTTGTTTTTGCCCGCGCATAACGGTTTGTCCGTAAATATTTTTGTTGATTTTATGATTACACAATTAATGCGTCTTGTCATAGTGACACTGATATGAAAACATTTTATTTTCCCGAAAATGTCGAGAAAATGTCTATATACACAACTCTAAATAATTTGGTTTATACAAAAATGAACTCCAATGGATTTTTGGGTAAAATGATTTAACAACACATTTTAAATTTTGTGAGGAATTTACATCGTTTTAAGTTTGTATGAACGAATCTTACGACTGATTTATCGATCTTTGGTATTTTATTTGAACAAATTGTCTACATTCCCCGTCAATTTTTCTGATCTGGATGCAGCCACTGTTGTAGGTAGGAAGTTAGGAATGTAGGATATAGACAGAAATTTAATGTACATCTGTAATCAACGAAAAACCATTGTTAACGAAAAAACGATTTTGAACGGAGTTCAGTTGATAGTTTTGTTTTTTTAACAATATATGTGTCATATTATGGTAAAATGATTATAATAATATGCGTTTCCATGACAACAATAATTATTTAAAAAGATTATTAAAATAATAAAAACTTAATAATAACAAAAATTAAATAAAACCAGTTGCCAATGACAACCTTATTTTTAATCTTTCAATCTTTTTTAACCTAGAGAACCAGGTTTTCCTCATAAATCTCAAATATTAATGAGAATTTCAAAAAATTACCTCATTAAAGTACCACCTAAAGAACATTTCCTTTCAGGAAAAATGTTATAATTGATAATCGGAGTAAGCTTTTTGGTAAAAAAAGTGTTCATATAAAAAAAATAAAAAAACCAACTTCGTTAAACCCAGAATCTACAATCAGACTAAAAAACAAATAAATAAAATATCTTTCGCTTATCTTTACTATCTATATCAAAAACGAATGTATGTCTGTTTGTCCTATATGCATTACTACACTATTCATCCGAACGCCATAAAACTTTGGACAGATGTTCCACGTTGCCCGGAGGAAGTTTATAGTTATTAAAATCTACTCCCATGATCTATTAAATACCATTCCCTAAAATTCGGTTTTAGGTATTTTTAGAATGAACAAATAATTATTTATGTTGATTAATAATTATGGGTTACCATGGTAACACGGATGAAAAAAACCAAACATTGTAATTAATTTTTGTAGTTCAATCCCTGTGCTGTACGGGTATTTTGGTAATAGCATTATAATGATAATTCATCTATTAAATGCATTTAGAAATTTTTTTATTTTACTAGCAAAGCCGGTTAGGGCAGCTTGTGTAATATAAAATGGAATGTTGATTTCGCCAAATTCACACGGGGATGTGACGATATAATAGAATAAGTCACGACGTTCGTCGTGACTTATTTTAAGGGACATAAAAAACAACTTTCTTTTTTTGTCAATAATCGTAGGTACTAACCGATAATAATATATATATTTTTTTTACGCGTGCGGCCATCTTAAAATTCAGTTTTACATGAGCCGGACTTAAGGGAGGTGTAGCTGTAACCCAGGGTTTACGAATCACCTAAAAATAAAAGGGGGTCGCTGACAAATCGTTTTAAAAACTTGATAATTATCTTTACTGAAAACACGTTTGAATAAAATTATATACCTAGGCAATCTTCATAGATACACAAATTCTACAGGTTTTTAATTTAACGCCTCTCGTCGAAATACTAGTATAAGTAAGTATTATTAGTATTTGCGTTTTTTAAAACGTTTTTATTTCCTCCAATTGTAACCCTATCGCCTATTGGCTACAAGCGTTGCTTCATTTATCTTGACAATATAATTTCGTCGTCAATGAGCATCACGGCGAGTACCCAAAATATTATAATTTGTTTGGTTTTTTTCCAAAGCCGTTGAAATCATTTAGCCAAATATAATATAATAATATTCTCCCCCATTTGTCTCGATCTACCGGTTTATCGTCACGTACAGATATAAATTAAATTACTCTATACATCTTCCTCTTCAACTTGCCTCCATAAACAGTGGCGCACCCATTAGCAGTATATGCCGTAGTTCTTCTGGGATTTTCCGCCATACGACTCTTGACAATTTTCGGTCTAACATTCTCCATAATGCGTGACCTGCTCATTCTAGCTTATTCTCTCTCTTTATCCGGCTGACAATATCCTGCCGCGTTTAAAAAAATTCCCCTACAATCGCACATTGTGTACTCTCGTCCATTCCTGCAGCGCGTGCTAATCGATACAACGGTCCGTAGATCACACAAAACAAATATAATTATGTAGGTGTACCTGTCCGATATGATGATGGCGACGATGTGTATACCGGTGTGTATGTTATTATAATATACCGGGTGTTTTTATTCGAGTCGTATATTATCGGTAAACGATTACTGCGTATTATAAACGATTTTTTAATCGATCGGAGAAATCATGGGCGCACGCGGCCCTCTATCTATCGATAATATCGACAAAAAGGTATCCCTATCTGAAATAATTATAATTATTATCATCATCATTATTATTATTACTAAATCGATACGCCCGTAAATAAACTTCTTTTATAATATGTAAAACGTACACTGATACCTACGTGACGACTGCCGCCGCACATTCCGATCACGTTTATCGATACTATTATACGGACTTCTGATGCGCTGCCGACGCGCGACGACATTTGACCTCTCGTCGTCGCGCGCGAACAAAAAATTAATATTCACTTTTTTTTTTTTTCCAGAGGTTTTTTTCTCCGTCTTTTTTTCTTCGCTTCTTCTCTCGCGACCGCGCGGACGTTTCTCCGAGTTTTTGGATTCCCTCGCAGTGAGTATTATTTAAAATAATAATAATTGGCGTGGCTGTCGCTCGGAGCCAGTCATACGCGTTTAGGAGGCAGGCGCGTGGGTACCGGGCGAGTCGCTTTCGCCCGTGCCCCGGGAAAAACGGTGTATTACCTATATGAATTTTTTTTTTTTGTAAATATTTTAATTTTTTTTTCTTTCTTACTGTTTTTGGTTTATATGTATATATATATCTATACGTAGATACATAATATAAAGTATCTTTCTCCGCGATGAGTATATTTTCTTCGTATAGGCAGATACCCGCGCGTGCGCTCTCGCGATGATTAATCGCCGTACGCGCCTGCACAACGCGCCGCCACCGCCGCCGGTCTGAGGAAGAGATCGCGGTTTGTTTTTTTTTCCCCTTCGTCTTCTTCGCGTATTTTTTATTTTTAAAAACAACACAGATTTCGATAGATGCTCGCTCGTAACGTCGCTCCGTGTTTCGCGGGCAATTGATTATACGATTATACCTATATACGTGTATATGATGTGCAAGCGGTCTCGACGACGACGCCCGAGGAACAGGAACCGGGACATTTTCCATAAATACCGGAACCAGTAAGAAAAAAAAAAAACACGTAAATATATCCCCTTTTAAAATAACTGGTCACGTTTCGTTTTTTTGGCGGCAGCAGTAAAATAATAACATCATACCTAGACGAAAACAAAAAACAAAAATAAATATTATTATGTTTGTTGCCGAGACATTCGGTAATCGCGACGGTCCGAAAATTTCGTATAACTCAGTGGCATGACGAAAGGGTTTTCATGGTTTAAATGAACAATAAATTAAATACTTATCATACGTAAATTGTATGCTTAAGCGGCCGTCAACGACTGCGTATAGAAGAATGTTGCGAACAGGACCTCAACTATATACAAATTATACCAGAGTGCAAGTTCTAAATTTCTCGCCCCCTCCCCTTCCATCACTCAACTCTAATTATTTGTCAACAATTTTTAGTCCTTGTCCTAATCAGCTTGTGAAAAATCCTAAAATATTTAATAGGTAATATTTTAGATGTAATATACCATTATGATGGAACTGTAATATAATATAAAATTGTGAAGTTTGCTTGTATTCGAAAATGAAAACGAAACAATTCGTGTTGATCATTATCATTACATCGCAAAAAAATATTTCCAAAATACTAAACGTTTATTAAATGATTTGTGTATATTTTAATTTTCTTGATTTTTGACTGTAGGGGTCTTGAATTTCAAATGATATTGATCACGTTTTTTGCTATTAAATTATTGATATGAAATTTGAATTGACGAATCTCTGTTGTTTCATAGTACTTATTAAATTATTTTTGATTAATTCAAATTCACTAAAACTCTTCTCTTCCAAAGCAACAGAGACTGGAAGAGTAAGTAATATATTTTGTAGAGCTGTTGTGATGTTTGGATAGCTCTCTTTCAGATGTTGCTCATCAAAAACTTTAAACGTAAACTGTGGACTTAGACTTGTCCACTTAGTGGGCATATTATTTAAAACTTTATTAACTTTATTCTACCAGAAATCTTGCTTCTCGAATCTCACTTTTTCTGGAAGGAAATTTTCCTGAGATGGTACTTGAGGGATATTATTTTTTGATTTTCTCAAGGTTTTTTTTATAATAAATCGGAAAAACCGGGAAAATACCGTTGGAAAAACGGGGAAATTTACGAAATTTATTATTGTCAAATTTTAAATATTATTGCCTTGTATAACATGTATAATCGAACTTCGTTGAGAATTGTTTTTCGTTAGCAATGATAAATTATACACACACAAATCGTAGATATACATTAAATTTCATCTCTACCTTCCTAACTTCTCACCTACAACAGTGGCCCACCCATCTTGCGAAATATGTCCGTCTTATTTTATAATCCTACGTTCTTAATCTTAATTCTGGGCGGACAACTCGTGTATGAATCATGCATTAAATCTCCAATATTATTATATCGAGTGTAACTATATAGATTATAGACATAACCGAATAGTACACCGATAGGCAACTGATGAACACAACCAAATAGTTAATATCGAACTATTCGATCATTGATCGCATTCGAGCTATTCGAATAGTTTACCGTCAAAGTATCAAAAAGGTTAAAAGTATACTATAAACATTTTAAACTATTCGGAAATCTCCATCACTATAAGAATAATTACTATTAGTGAAAAAGCCCCGATTAGTTGATGAATATAGTTGATGAATATTTATTGAGGCGTTTCCTATATTTACCAGTTCCCATGAATATATTATGATGTTGTTGTAGTGAACAACTCAGCGATAAATCGATTTGGTGGTCAAGATTTAAAATTATATATTATAAGTAAATGTATAATATATAGTCTCTTAAAATAGAAATGTCTTCAAACAGTTGAAACCATAAAAACGACAACAAATCTATAATTTCGATCAGAGAACGTAATGTATAGTTGGTAAAATGACGTAACTCTAAAAAAATAAACTTTGATTTTATAGATTTTTTTCAAAGTGTACCTATACCTATTAAGTGACATCATCGACATCATCTATATGCATATAAAACAATTATTATTATTATATTATACTTGTTTGGACATAACTATCGTTAACAAGCTAAGTGATATAAAAAAACAACCGATTTATCGTGTAAGAAAATACGAAACTTTTTCTATACCATACTTCACGACGAATACAATTTTTTTTTTTTAGAACTCTTCAATTTCAATCCAACTAAGCTGCAATCAATATAAATAAAAACATTTAGACAAAGAAAAAAAATTCTCAAAGAATTCATTGTAATGATACGGTTTTTTGTTTATAGAGGTTCAAGGTTATAGTGTCGTTTGCAGCTCTTAGATTTTAATAAATTTTTTATGTATAGGTACTTATTGATCAAATTTGATTTTACAGTATTTAAGAAAGTTTCATCTTCAGCAACGTATCGGCCGCCGCGTTTATTGTACAGTATTATCCTTATACACTCTGCGTCTGTAATGTTCGTGACGGTCAATAAATAATAAAAAAAAAAACACACGAACAAAAAATAAATAAATAAATAATTTAATGTTTTTCCGTTTGCGAATAAATTAAACGAGTCGTCGAGAATAATATACAAGTATACAATAGTACATATATAATAACATCGATGACATTTTTTTTTTTTTTTCAATTCTCGACCGGATAGTTGGCAAAGATGAAACGCGGCGCATTGCTGTCAACTGTGTCCCCCGTTGCCTGAGTGGTAGTCGGGGGGTAATAAGACGACCCATACTGTTGCTGCTGCGGCTGTTGCTGTTGCTGCTGCTGCTGTTGCTGCTGCTGCTGTTGCTGCTGCTGATGATGTTGATGTTGCTGCTGCTGCTGCTGCTGTTGATGATGCTGCTGTTGCTGCTGTTGATGCTCACCCTTGCGCACCGGGCACAAACACGGTACCCATCTCACGTCCGAGTTAATCTGATGGTCGATAATGGACTGCAACTGAAAAAAATTACCAAATATGTTATAAATTATAATGAAATATTTTAAGAAAATAAATAGAAAGTACGAGGAAATGAAATCAGATTTTACAGATGTGTGAGTTTTATCCTCGACAAATTCTTTTTCGCGATTTTTAAAAATTATTAAATCATTTTTTTTTATGCAATACCATCTAAAATGCGGACTTTCCAACTGTTAATATTTTATTTGTACACGATTTCTAAATTATAATACTGACAGCTTTCGTAAAAAAATTAACAACCCAGTATCGATACATTGGTTTTAATTTTTGACTAGCTGTTACCATACACTGAAATCCACTCAGAATAATAAATCGTTGCTAACAAAAAACGATTATGAGAGAGGTTAAATTACTTCACGATTTTCGTCAAATTTTGATTTTAAAACGCATGTAGAAAAAAATACTATTGTAATGGGGTAAATTTTTTGTTCTTTTTATTAACGACCAAGTAATTTAATTATTGTGAAATTTTCATTAATTTCTGCTCGGCCAAAACAATAATTGTAGCCACATAAAATTAAATAAATACTCAAAATAACTCGAAAATGTCATATGCTTATAATAAGAGCTCAAAAATCATCGTAATATTTTGAACATTTACCACGTTTAGAAAAGTCTAATAATCAAATGGGAAATCAAAAAATGATCGCCCTCGCAATGCACCACTAGACGCAATTTGCTTAAATAAAAGATGCAACAGTTTCTTAAAGAAAAGTCGTTAACAGACAGAACAAAAAATGTAAAAATCACATATCACAGTAAAACTAATACATTCTTCGCTGAACATAAAAACAAAACAAAAACCAAATTGCGAAAAATAAATATTATTAGTAATAATCTAATATGTCATGGATTTGAAATTTCCAAATAGAAATTTCATTTGAAAAACCCTAACCGCGCTCTGGAAAAAATAAATAAAGAAAGAAAACGACTATACAAATCAAACATTTGTGAAAAAAAATGCAAACTGAAATTTCTATGAAATATTCTCGTTCGACTGCAATAGTAGACGAAAAAAAACTGTGTACGGGTGTAGCGCAGCGAGCTTCGGTAAACAGCACGGAGCGCATTGAAATCCCGTACAATTATCACGATTCGCCGTCGGTCATATTATTATAATGTACTGCGGTGGTGATTTTTTTTTTTTTTTTTTTTATCGAAAGACCGCGTTGTTTTAGCCCGAAAAGAAGAAACCGCCGACCGAAAACGAATTTTATAATGTCATAGCGACGTCTCGCAAGTAGCGCGGAATCCGAATTTATCACGGTACGGTCCACGGTAGTGCAGTACCTATACCGGACTTTCGCGGAACCCGCGCACCTTACACGCTTACCGTATGCTCGCCGGTAGGTATCGTAAACGTCAATTATTTAAAAGCGCGCGCAACTTACGAGTGTGCGTACACGTATAACGCGGTGTATTTCTCGTGGACGGTGTGGTACCGAAGCCGCGGTATATATTACGGGATACGAGACTTATCGGACGCGTTCGGGTCGAAGAAAGCGGCGAAATCGTGCGGGCACCGCGCGATAGGAGGCGACCGCGGTGAATAATCCCGCCGACCGTTTGTACAATCCCATTTAAAACATATTGTTTTCAGTGCGCCGCGGCGTTTTGCGGCACATGTATCTGCGGTGGCGCGGATACTCCGGGATTTTCAAAATGGGACGCGATGTACTGTAAATCGTAAATTAATCGTCGAACGGTCTTCGATTATACCTGACCCGACGACGAGAGTTTACAAGCCCGATCCGGAAAAAGCCGAGTTTTATTCAATAAATCGAGTTTTACTTTTCCTCGTAACTATAATATCGGCTAAAACATTCACTACCAACATAACACTATAAAACAAACGTTCATAATAATTATTGTTGAATTTATAAACCGATAGGGGAGAGGTCACTACTCGGGTTTCACTACTGGATATTGCCCACTATACCGCCAATACGTAGCGGAAACACGTTATTTTTGAAAAGAAAACTGCAGTGGTTGCAGTACACTTGAATATATTAACGGTAATCGAAAATCGAGTAAAAACGTTCAGTGCTTATTTTCAGATGCCGTAATACGACCTTAAATGTTTTTGAAAACCAATGATTTATTTCACACATTTTGGATTTAGAATTTTTTTTTTTTTTTTTAGAGAGACTTCATTTAGCTCATTAAACCATTTTGAACCGAGATAGTCCACAACTCTTTGTCCGAAAGGAGTTTTCTTAAACATCTATCAGGAATATCAGCCGTTTTTTATTTTTACACAGCATTAAACGAGTAATACTGCTGCAGCAGTATAGGCATCGTTTATATTATTTTAATAACGAGTGAAAACAAGAAAACTTATTTATTATATGAACACGAACCATTGCGGTTTTTTTTTTTAATTTTGAAAAAATTAAAAACATAGGTGCTTATAATTGCATCGTACATCGTACGTGGGTGGATTTCAATATTAAAATCCAACTAAATAAACGTATATACGCACGGGTATAAATCAAAATATAACCGTTTAGGCCGTCATGGAGATTAGAATATAATATATACGTATAGGTGACTAACTAGTTTTATAATATCCGTGGTTTTATTAGACATATCCAACTGAAAAATTAATCATCGACAATTATTATTATTATTAACTTTCATATTATTTCGTGTATTATTATCGAAATATTATAACGTACCGACGGACGTTGTTATTTGCAGATTTACGAGTCTAAACGAAAACCGACGCGGATTCGAATTTATCTGCGTAACCTCTGTTTCGGGTTTTAATAATTCGCACGGTAACGGTGTCGATACGTATACAATACACATCATTTAACAGATGTGTACACATCGATTCCATACACTATCGTTATTAATTACTATACAATAGTATTATAATCCAGATTCAACTAGGATTTAACTGAGACTTGACTATTATCCCGCCCGAGTATTCGGAAATCAGCCGGAAAACTGAAGGTATGAAAACAACAGAGAAACCAAATAATGTTTGAAAGGTTTGAGTCAAACTTTGAATCAGAGGTCCCGGCCAAGTACCTCGAGAAATCGACGTTTAATATATACTAGTTGTGTCATTGAAGTGGGAATGATTTTTATTAATTCTCTATTCGTAATATATCCACTACCCAGTACCCAGTATCGAATAAATATATTATTTAAATACATACAATATCTATCATATCTCGTATTGCAATAATAATTGTCACACAAGTATCTACAGTATCTTGTATCACCCTGTGTACTATAAAACGAAAAGGGCCGGGGACACGACAATACTCCCGCAAAAATCATTATTCAATGAGAAATCGCACAACAAACATAACTCTGGTTCTAGAAATAAAAGCTTCAGTCAATTTTGTATAATTTTCAATACAAGCAAATTAAATAAATTATAAATATTGCTAAATGACATTATGACATAACTACTAAATGATCCTGGAAATTCTAAATATGGTACTCTAAATGGTCATAAGTCACATAATTTTATAACTTTTGCCTTTTTTCTAAAGAAGAGTGCATCGTAGTTAGTGATTTGGGATATCTTCATTTTTGGTATAACTACATTCTGTGTGTATTAGAAGAAACATACACTTGAATTATTCAGACCAACAAATAAAGGGAAACGAATTGCTTAAGACAAAAATCATAGAGACAAAAAAATATGTCAAAATCGAATTAGGTTCTGGAATTTCCCGGGACCAAAAATACACTCGATTATGAGTGAAACTGCATCTTTGGTCCTTTCCTTAACGACCGATTGCCTACATCGAAAAAAATCTCCGACCTTCTTTGCGGTCCTCTCAGGTCCCTGATCATCTCCAGGACGCATTTAAACGGGTCAGACGAACCGTCAATGAAATGACGGTGGCCATCACGTACGAACAGGAGGTGGACGAGTGCGCGACAAACGCGGCCACCGGGAACAGGGAACCAAGAACCCTATTTTAGGGATTTATGGGGACTTGTGATTTGATGGACCGGAGGGAAGAAATAGAAAACGGTTCACGCGATTCAAACAGAAAAAAGCAAAACCGCGAAACTGTGTAGTAGTCAAAACGTAAACATAAAAGTATACGAAATACGCACTTGCGAGCGAAACATTAAATCGTATATACCTATAATAACGCTTTGCAATTTCAACGGGCGAACCCCGAGACGATAAATCTCACGGTCGCCCGCCGTAACAATCGGCATATCCGCGCGCAGCGGTGTTATTTTACATTATAGGAATTCTATGTGGATATACGAGTATATTTTATTATAATGTGCGGAGGATACGTACATGTCATACGGCTATTCTCGCGGTCGTGCTCTCATCGATTTCTCTCTTCTTTATTTTTTATTTTTTTATTTATTTTTTGCCAGTGTTTAAGTATATACGCACATACACACACACACACACACACACGCACATAGGTACAGGGCTTGACCTTCGGCGTCACTTTCTTCGATCACGAACCGAAAACGGACACACGCCGTGCGCATAGACGTAAAGTAGTAAATATAGGTATACCTACTATAAGCGAGGGGAAAGATTTCAATAAAAAAAAAATTTCAAAAAAAAAAAAAAAATGAAAGAAAGAAAGAAAATCTCTTCATTATAAACGTTTTTTCCTCCCGTGTGATGATGATCCTCGAACCCGATAACCCGTATACGGAGACGTGGTATATTATAATACGCGCGACCGAACGAACCATCTATATGGCTGCTGGTCGTACGACGGCGGTCACTTGTTGTTCCGAGAAAATTATTCCGAGATGAGCCTGTATTATAATATATTAATATATGAAAATAAAAAAACCGCCTGTGACATAAATCGGCTGAAATATTTAAAAACTAAACCTAACCCCTTGGCCATTTCCCGTCCAAATTCAGTGACGACGGCAGCGACACCGCCGCCGCCGTAGGTACAACGAGTTAATTTTAAACACATTAATTCTCATAAATTCCATATTTTATATCGACGACGGTGAAACGTCCTGAGAAAACGGCTTGTACATCCGACGAGACGCTTTCCGAACGTCGTTAAAATAACAATACGAGAGATAATTTCAGATCGGGTAACAATACTGCACGAAAATCGGAAATAACCTATACCTACGATCGTCTCCAATTATTATTAGTCCAATGCACGAGGATGTGTTGTTAAGTTTTCTGATTTCGTGATGAAAGAGGAGATAATATTATTATAGACGTGCAGATGTCACGACGACGAACGAGGTTCGTTCTCAATTATTCTTACTCGTTTGATCACGAATTACCGAACGACCGAATAATGTTCGTGTGATTATAAATCGCAATCGTCTCGCGAAAACTGAAGTAAATATAAATTGAAATGTAAAAAAAATAAATAATTAAGAATTTCAAATGCATGTATAAATGTATTGAAAACGATTATTTTCAATGTTATTACAACAAATAAACAAACCGTTATTGCCGAAAATTTTCCCGTTTTACGAATTTTTTCCCAATCATTAACAAAACTAAAAAAGAAACTAAATCAAAAAATGACCTCTTCGACGCACCAACTGGATAAAATTGGATCGCAACGAAGACGCTGCGCTTGAAAATCGAAACAGGATTTCTGATAGAAAAGTTGATCATAGGTTCAATAACGAACAAATAGTATCCGATAAAGGTGAAATCGATAGAATCTAAAAATCATTTAGTTTCCCGCTGATTTTCAATATTAATATTCGGATTTTAACTTTTCGATCGTACAAAATTGCCGGCGGCGGGCCGATGTATACGACAAAATCGCAATTCGTATTGCTATCGATAAACGACACATTATAAATAATCACCGGCGGCGGTTAGTTTTCGCGGCACGCGTATGGACGCAGCACAATGGAAAATTGAATTAAATCGCGCGTGTCCAAGACCTGAAATGTATAGTATCTCTAATACACGATGACGATGATTTGTTGCACTAAATCGAATATGCGCGCGTAATTATAATGCACGTGTAAATAGCGTGAAAAAAGACTGGCAATACGCGAGAACGTTAGGCTGTCAAACCTACCGAACGGGGCATTCTAACGAATTATATTAACAACGCGAAGAAACCTCAATGACGGCGGACGCGAATAATATGCGTGTTTGCGGTAATACAATATTTTCCATTTATAATGTTATACCCAGCGAATAATAATAATTTGAATAAACATTTTTTTTTTTTTTCCCCGTCCCGGCTTAAGCATAAAATATACGCCGTTTACTTTCTACCGTTTATACAGACACAATTATTTAAGTACTGTGAAATGTCGTTTTAAATGTTACAATAAAAGCCGGACATACTTCGCATTGCGGGTAGGCCGCTATTATAGGTGCGGAGTTTGGAATAGGTAATTTAGCGTACAATAATACTGAAAACAACAATAGTTTAAAACTTAATTATTTGTCATGCTAACATGTTTATGGCTTAGTTTTCATTTTAAATCAACAGCTATACTGGGTAATTTATTAATAAGCGTGCTCACCCCATTTGTATGGGTAAATTATGCGTTTATTCAAATTCTGATTCTTGGAATTTTTAAGTATAGTTAAAGAAGATATTTTCGTATACTTAGATTTTCACAACATTTAAGGAGTATCCTGTTGGCGATATCAACTTTAGTTTTTTAAATGAGAATCTATAATAACAATTCACAAATTATACTCCATTACTCTCCCCTGCTTAAACTAAAAGTGAAATATTTCATGAATGAGTTAACGGAAATCAAAAATTCAAAACCAAAATTTATTTTAACTAAATTACTCCATATGTTTATGGAATTTCTATACAGTTATTCACCGGCGTATAGCAAGGGCATGGCAAACTGCATACTCAAAACTGTATTCAAAATTATAATCAGAAATATAAAATAAAGGACGTCTTTACAAAAAGTTGTAAGTGCCGATGTAACCACGAAAATTGACCACGTGATATTTAACTTTCCCGGTACTTTCACTTGGGCAATTTAGAAAAAAAATGTAAAGAAACAAACTATTATACATTAGAAAAAATTCCAAAATTATTTTCAGCCTTTATTTCCCAAAAGAATTAGGACCTACATACTAATATTTTCAGTAATAATACATTTGTCACACACCTATTATAGTGTTTAGCATTTCTTTTTAAAACAGAATAAGAGAAAAACAATTAATAATAAAATAAAAACACACGTTACCTTTTGGTGTACAAGAGGAACGGCCACGGCCACTTGATTTGAATTTGACCCTGCAGAAATTTCCGCACTTTTGGATGAATCGGAAGTGAAAGGAAGTAAAGATTTTATTTGCCACCAATGCGATTTTTCTTTTTGCGGAACAGGACTGAAACGGATATTGTTTTATATTAGTAAAATATATAAAATACTTTATACATTTTCAATATTCTCTAGAATATTTAAATAATAATAAATATCAGTAAACTTAAGAAAACGCTTAAATCTAAAATCTGAACAAAATAATATATGTATATATTAGAGAGTCGCAATCTACTAGGACTTATTATATTGATAATTAAACGTAATTAAATTCCAATTTGAAGTAGAGTCGAACAATAAATTATTTAATTAGCCATTATTTATTTGGCAATAAAAATGTATCATTATTCCCTTTTGGATTCAAACGTATAAAAATATGAATTAGTGTGTTTATTATTTTGTGTGAACTTACGCGGACTGTTGCTCAAAAATACCGAAAGACTGCAGTGGCGGTGGCTGTGTGGTGGATTTCTTTCGAGAAAACAGCGATTGTTCGGTACTCAAGACGCACAGGATCAGGATCAGGATCGCCTATGCGGATAAACAAAAATTGTCAACACAAAATGACTATTAAATATTCGTACATTGTACACCACGGTGGTACATACCGCGGAGGCGACGTATTTGTTGGCGTTGGAACACATTGCGTGAATTTCGTCAAGACTCGTTTCGAGCGCGACCAACCCTTTATGTATGTATAGCCAGGAAAATATTATGTCGACTGTCGAGACACTGCAGCAGACTCCGCGGTCGACGTTTCCCGCGTATAGCTAAGTACTCCCGAATTGGAGAAGAAGATGGCGTCGGTCGTCGGGCGACGCACACGAACCCAAACGGATAATAATTTAGGCACTTGGGTGGTGGCGCGCGTGCGAGCGGTAAAACAGGAATTAAATTTAAAAAAAAAAAAAAAACCAAACGACTATAATGTTATATGTTTATATACCTGAATAAGGTAAAAAAAAAAAAAACAACAAAAAAGTATAATAATAATAATAAGGGTACGTTTCGTGTCGTCTCTCCCGGCGTACTTATGTATATATATACGTACCTATATATAGGCCCGATGAGTTTCATCCGCGGCGACCGAACCTCTTGTTGTTCTACCGCATTCCTGAATATTGTTTAAAAAAGAACACACACACACACACGCATTTCCTTCTTGTCCATTTTATTATTGGAAATCCGATGAGGAACCAACGGCACATAATGTTACAAGATGCGTGTGCGTGTGACGCATTTTACGCGTCTTCGTATAAAGTTATAATATTCCCGTTTAACACCAATAATACTGAAACGTATAAATCATTTTGTTTATATTCTGAGTATAGCGAAGTTGCCATATCATAAGTTTAACTAAGACATTTCGTTTTTCACTCGAAAATGAAAAAAACGAAAAATTCCCGTAAATATGGTCTATAGATTTCCAACAGGTTTTATGAAAAATCAAATCACAACTATAAGCAGGGCATACCTAACCTAACCTTTGTGGATAGTATGTCCAAGTTTTTTAACAGATCCCACAAACAGAGGAAGTTATTTTTCTTATTTTCTAGATTTTCGTGTTTTCGGAGCGCATCTACTATATATAAAATATCGTCTCTAGGTTAACATGAAGACATTCCTGTAGTACATAATATTAATTATAAATTATGAATTATTATATTTTTTCCGTAATTTTACCATCAAAAATATTACGTACCTACCAAAGAGAAAACCAAAGAGCGTGTTATAGATATTACAGTTGTACGATACTTGTAGCGATGGAATCCGCTGAAGATGCAAGTGTTTTTTTTCTTAAAATAAACTCTTACTCAAAAGAGTTGAAAACAAAATAATTGAGAATATTTTCCCCGCAAAACATTGAAGAGAAGTGTACGAAATCAAATAATTTTTCAAAACAGAAATTGTGCTGCTGAAAGTATGTTTATTTTTCTAATCAGTACTGGAGAGCCTATAGAAACTCAAACTTAAGTAAAGTTCTAGCTAATCGGTCTAAATGTATGCAAAATCGAATTATTTCCGACCGCCTTACAATTATAATATTATTATTATTATGTTACCGAAAATCGGACCACAATAATCCAACTTGAAATAATATATTGTGGTTAACGCTGCGAATTCCGCGAAAGGAGACTGTTTTTATTAGGATATATAAGTATTATTTGCTATTATTATTATTGTTTTTTTATTTTTTTCGCCCGAGAGGTTACAGGTTAGGTTAGGTTAGGTTAAACGGCACACCGACTATGTGTATGTACATTATACTATCATGTCCGAGCGGACGACCGCACGCGGAAATTTTACACCTTTTACCCGCAGCAGTTGTACCCACTCGTCATCGTCTTCGCGTTAAGAACTGACGATAATTTCGTGATATATTATTTTAATAACTATGCGTCGGATCCGCGTGCGCGATGTATACCTGCCCATTATGATGTCGTCGTCGGGATACGTGCGTGTGAACATTTTTAGCGTCCGTAAATTTCGCCGACGACCGCACTGTACAGTTTTTCGGCACATAATAATAAGAGTGTGCCTATACTAAGATTTAAAACTCCTTGGATTCATATACAGAAGCTGTGCCGTCTTCAATGATAAAAATACTTTTATTTCAATTTATTGTTCTTCAGTACGATCAATTTTAGAATGTGGCTGCATTATCTGGTCACCTTTTAATATTGGTTTAATAACTACTCTTGAGAAAGTTCAAAATGATTTTTTACGCTTTTTAATTTTCAAGTGTATAACATACCCAGAACTCCCCATATAACTTACAGTCCTTTACTTACCTACTTAAATCTTGAATCCCTTGAAATGCGCAGAAGCAGACTTGATTTATATTTTATTTATAAGTTATTAAATGGGTACATTGACCTAACCTAACTTCTTAGCCCGTTTATCCTTCAAAGTTTCCTCAGCTAATACCCGATCAACTAATATTTTTTATTTAAAAACTTAACCTACTAATTATGCCTCAAACACACCACTATTGTGACTATTGTGTAACTATGCTGCAGAAACATTTATCTGATTTGATTTGGTTTTTAGCTACGGGTGATCCAGTATCCTTGGATACAAGGTAAATTTATTCGCGTTCGACTTTATAGTAATGACAGTTGAAATAAAACTATACACTCGCGAAATCGACGACATTCTGAGGTGTGATCGGTCGGTGATTTCGTTTTAAATCGATCAATATATACAATTATATAATTATACGCGATCGACGAGTAACCCATCTATAAATTATTATGACTCGGGTTCGGGACACACAGTACTTAAAATCAACGAAAAAAAGCTCTGGGAAAAAACTCAACTATCAGCGCTTACAAATTCCGAAATAACCGCTTAAAAAACACGAAAAATATACGAATGGGCAAAAAAAAAACAGTGTGCCCCAAACGTACATTCAAATCGTTTTGTCATCATTTTTCAATCGCATTGTTGTCTCGTACTGCGCGTATCATTATTGTTATGTAACGTGTACCGGATAATAATAAGTGCGGCGAGCGAACGAGTCGAAAATCCGATAAATCGTTTCGTATTTCGTTGGGCCCGCTGCGACGAAACGACTCGCGTGTGTGTAATAATTAATACCCCGGACCGGTCGTCGTAGTCGGCGTTCATTGTCGGGCCGACCGACTAGTCTCAATGATGATGATGCTGCACCACGTACCGTAATATTATTATAGGTAAGTGGGCACGCGGACGCCTAACCTCAGGAATTATGTGTTGTCTTTCGGTCGCGTAGGTCCCTATATATATAATTGTTGTAAAAAAAAAATAAAAATCCCGAAGGGGAAAAAATACAATATAATACCGATTATGACGAAGACTGGTTTTGGTTCGGTATTATTAATGGTAATTTACATTCCCGATAGGTAGGCAGGTATATACGAGTATAATATATATATATATATATAAATATATAGGTACCCTAAAATGAAATCATCATTTTTGAATTACCGACGAGACAACAGCACTTTGCTTGGGTCGTTGCGGCCGCCGCCGCCACCCATCGGTATATAATCCACTATATCCTGTCATCATCGGTGGGAATATATCTTCTTCTTCTTCTTTTTCGTTCCCAGTTTTAATTTGTGTATTATATTTTTTTATTTTTTTTTTTTTTTATGGCCGTTAAAAAAAAAAAAAAGTATAATATGACCCTCGGGCCTAAGCAGCAATATAATTATTATGTATGGGTAGGTACCGCTGCAACGGTAATATCGTTATAATATTATTAACAACATGACAAGTGGGCCGAGGCATGCGCACGTGTTCGAGACGAGATTTAATATAACTGTATTAGAACATTACCTACGATAAAAAATAAATTATTGTAAAGATAAAAAGAGCGATATATATATATATATATATTTTTTTTTGTTTTCTAAAGCTGTTCTGGGATTGTTGGGAGGAGACGCGGGCCATCCTTATTGTTTCGTTTTTCCGTGATATAAATTAAGCGTATTACCGCATAATTTATAAGCGACTCGGGAACGCTAGGAAAACACTACCGTGAGAAACGTCTGTCAACAGCAAGACTGCACAATTGTTAATTGTATTGTTATACAAAGTTAAAATTCGGTTCCTTATATTGATCTTTGGCTTTTGGTTAGGTTAGGTTTCCGGGGGAAAAATCTGGGAAATCCCGGTCGTAGCAGGTTTCTGTAACACGACGTATTGCCTATCTGCTGTATGGACGAACGATAGTTTCTAAACTAAAACCAACATCTACATTTTCCCCCCCAAATTCGAGCACTGTTCTTAAGTGAAGGCCCGTCTACAAGTAGTACTATCGTAATACAGTAAAATGTCAAACATTTTCGTCGTCGATTTACAATCGTATAATATAATAGTGACTATATTCGACCAACACGTTATCACGATCTATTAAACCAGGGGATCCATGATCATTTTTACGTTTACATTGAAATATACGAGCAATTGGTTCTAGATATACCAGAATTACAGACTTCATAGGTATTGATTGCCGAGTACCAATATAATATGATACTCGGTATAGTTATCGTGTTTTCTCACCGCGATTAATTATTATAAAGATAATCGCATTATATAGGAGGACTACTGCTGCATTTATTTTTGGAATAACTATTCTACCGTATAGTTCCCTAATAAGTCTCTCCCAATGATAAGAACAGAACGTCATCGACTGGTGTGATAAACAGGACCGGATTAAAAGTTTACCGAACTCGGAACCCGATAGTCCAAAGGGTCTTTACACTATTTATTACTAATAACTCAAATTTATTTCTTTATAAAAAAAAAATACAAATGAAACGATTGTACGGAATAATAATCTCTTTAAAAATGTTTAATTTGTTAGGTATCTGTCAGGACAGACAATATTTTCATTATAATAAACAATATTATCATTTAAATGTAAAAAAATTAAAAACGTATAAATACAATATATTACTGATATCATATTTTATCTATGTTGCTTTTCTCTTCTCTATTTAAAACTCCAAATTAATTTCATATGGTAATCAATGTGACTATTGGTGCAAGTATATAATATATGCGTTGCGACTAACCAATTAATAATGATCATTTTTATGCACATAGATATATCGGCAGTGGGTACTTAACATTTTTTAATTTATAACAATTAATTCACAGGTATCAATAACAGGCCGAAGACATGAATTTAAAGATGCAAATAGTATATGAATATTGTAATTCAGCCATTCAATATTTTAACGTATTATGAAATTATAATTTGGATTTGCAAAATGTTCAATAAACATTAAATTTAAAATATTATGAACTTATTCTGAGAAAAAAAAATGCATTTTAGGGGTCTTCGATATTTCAGGGGCTGGAGCCCGGGCCACGTGCTAATCTAGCCTTTTGTGATCAACATAATATTCCGATTTAAAAATATCTGAATTACGCATTGATAAAATATGTTGTACAGCAGTTATTATGGACGAGTTTGAAAATGTTTTTATTGCAGTCGTAAAAATATAATTCGTTCGTTTCGGAAACGATGATTTCGATCCATAACGAAACGTCCGTTTATACATAATATTATAGGAGCAATAATACTGTATAGTCTTTTTATAAAGAATCGCTGTAGTAGGAATACCTCAACAAATATTTTTAAAAAAAACCCGTCAAAAATAACATAACGGTTTCCGAGTTAAATAATTATCATTATTTCGAGTGGGTAGTTTTAATATGCAAGATACTATATGTTCTTCTTGATCCTAAAAAAAAAAACCCGTATTTACATATTTCAACAATTTTGAAACTTCTACTATTAATAAGTACCTATAGTAAGAACTATTCACGATTTGAAATAACCGTATGATTATAATACTAGCAAGTAGATAGGTATGTCTCTTTTGGAAATCACGCAAGTTTCTCGGATTGAATCAATTTTTTTCTCAACACACCCAGGAATAATAGTGTGTTTGATTTTTTTTTTTTTTTTTTAACTGACTAGTTATTTCGAAAAAAAAAGTCAATTACAGGTTTTTATATTTTTCACATCGTATGTCAGATAATATGCCCAACCTACATTACTTAACAGTTTTCCTGTTACACTTACAATGCTTTTAGACTTGAGTGGTCAAACAACGAAAAGTTATTATTTTAACGATCACACGTGTTGAGCATTTTTCGGCCAACAATAACAATGTTCGAGTTGTTTTAAATTATGCGTAGGGTAGGTACCTACCAATAGTTATTAAAGACTCCAAGACAATCCATCACGCCTAATAATATGGTAATCCGGACAGGTCATTTTTGGAATTTTTAATCCTGTTCGGTACATTGAACATAATATTTTGAAAGACAATAAACACACGCAAGTATTAAAAGTTGCGCTTGTCACTTATTATCATACTTATTATTTCAACATTATTAACAAACCGACAATTGTCTATAGGTAGGTAAGTATGAATAACTTTTTTCTTGTAGTTTTTATACTGATAATTCTATAGGATTATAAAACTGGATAATTAAGAAGGCATGATAGTTTTTGTACATTCGGGTGGGGCGTTTTGATGTCTAGGTGTGAGTGAAAGATAATCTTTGAATAGTATATTTTAGTAAATTATTTTGAACGAATCAATATATATATATATAAAGATTAAACTGATCATATTACTATAATTAACTAATCTGCCAATAATTTTACAATCAGTTACACTCCGCTAAAAATCTAGAATATTAAGAACATCTTACAAAACCCCAAGGACATAAAACCTATATATTTCAATAATTAATAATAAGTAGGTACCTTTTTTTTTTTCACTAACAGCGGTAAGGAATCTGTTTAACACAATACTTCACTCACTGCTGCCATCGTTTATGGTATTTAATAATCATTTATAAATCGTCCACTACTGCTTATGGTGCATGGTCCAGTGTATTATATTCTTAGGTCTAATTCTATTCAGGTTCCCACGAGCTCCTTGATGTTAATATTACTATAATATATGAAATCTAATATCCCCCTAATGACTACACTTCTATCTCGAAGGTTCTTGGCCTGGAATCTTTAAATGACGTTAGACGGATATTAGGTACGACTTTTTAAGATGGACTGTTATCCAATACAATAGAGTCTCTTGCTCTCGTACCACTTATAAATTTCAAACCCCCACAATAAAGTACCCGCATACCTATGGCCTCTCATATTTTTCAAATAATACTAATTGCTTAAAACAACAAGCCATCGAGACACTTAATGTCTATTGCCAATGAGGATCCCACCTGTATTGTTTAATTATTTTTATTTAAACTACCAATAAATTTGTATTTTATTTGGTATTATTATTATTGTTGCTTGTATTTAAAATTAATATATTATTTTGTATTCAAAGAGCACCGCCATTAACAGTTAATAAATTTATAAACATGACTATAGTATACCTATATTTTTATTTGAAGAGATGAAAATGATACATCAATATATCAAAAATATTGACACTGATAAGTCTTTGATATTCTCGATATATCGGTCAAAATATTTATGAACCAAATATATGTATTGGATACATTAATTATCAATAAAATATTTATTATTATTATTGTATTTATAAATTTTTTTTAATTTTCCAATATAGAAATATTTTAATGAATTACTGCTAGGATATCCCATTGAATAGGACTAAACCATACTCTATAAATTAGTGTCAAGTCATGCTCTTCTAATTAGACTATTTTAAATAATGATTGAATAATTTAGATCTAAACAATTTAATAATCCCACTAAAAATATACATACAAATTTTTTAAACATTCATATTGTAATAAAATATGAATACTTATAATTTTTTAACCTTACAAATATTTTACTATTATTGAATAAGAGTTACTCAAATTAAAGTATTTAGCAATAAAATAAATACCTAAGCACTTAAAATGTAAAGTATAAGAATTTTAAAGTTACTTTACATCACATTTATATTTGTTTAGATCTAATCGTCCTTGATAAGGATTATTTTCATATAACATGACTTCACGTTAATCAAGCATATTAATTTAAAGATAAAATATTTGAGTGTAGTTATAAGAGCTTATAAATATAAAACCCAGAGTTAAACCATAAAGTTCTAATACTGTTCAAGTCAATATTTAAAAAAAACACTCAATACATTTTTTTTAGCGACATTTTAAATACCTACCTACTAGTTCAAAATATATTTTAATAATAATTACATGATAGTATTACTATTATAATACTTAATATAAATTATAAGCTACAATATTTATTTTTAATAAAACTAAACTTTCATTCAAGCGAACATGACCTATCAGTAATCTATGATAAAACAAAAATCAAAAAACGGTTTTTTAAAAATATTTTAAAATGTTATGAGAGTTGAAAAAAATATACATATTTCAATATTTTTCTCTTTTAGCACAAAGTTCATTTAAGGTTATGATGTAAAGCCAAGTTAAAATTATTTATACTCGAACAACTCATATGTCAACAAAATCGGATAGTGTTTGCTTGATCTAAATTGAAAACAAGCATTCAATTATAGTTGAGAAACTTAGCGATTGAAGCAAGGGTCTATGTTTTTTTCTGTATGGAGTTTTATGCTATCACGGGTACTGTTGCCAAAAATGTACTTAGCTTACTTACACCTAATAGTGACACATACTAGTGAGATGTGGTAGAAAGCTTAAGATGAGGAGAATCTTATTTTATTTGAGAAGAAAGTGCTCAAAAAGATATATGGACCTGTGCAAATTTATCAACTGGGGACTATGAAAAGAGAAAAAATACCACCTTGGAATCCTTGCATAATAAACCAAATATTAAATTTTTTCTGGAAGCTAAGTACCTAGAATGGGCTGGTTATATATGGGGAGCTGAGAAGAGCATAATTCAGGAAGTACTGATTAACAAACTGGCAAATGTTCTAGGGTAAGACCTTGGGAATGATGGCAAGATAGAGCAAATGCAGGTATAAAAATGGTAAATGAAACAACAAAACTCAAATGACCGTGATTAATGGAGGAACTTAATAGAAGCAACAAAAAGCTTCAATGGCTTATAAAGCAATAAAAAAAATCTAGTATTTATAATTACTGGGTTAATCATTATTATGTCCTATCCTAGCGAATATTGAAATGACGCATTTATAGGTACCACTTTAATAGTGGGCCATTTTCAAAAAAACCAGCAAGGTGTTATTCAAATAAAATAATAACCATTACTACATACAATTCTATAATATATTTAAGTCACGATAATAAAGATTATTTAAATTAATTAAAGTTATTCAAATAATTCAGTGTATTCTAGTAATGAATAAATAATTAAAATTCAAATAATGATTATCATTATCAATAATGATTATTCGAATAACTTGTTCTCGAGCACTATTAAATAATTCAATAACTATTATTCATTGCTGCCATATCTAGTGTGCACAAGCAAGTACAATATTTAATTCTTCTGAGTCCATAGCAGGTAACCCCAATTCTACACTGCCAAAATATAATTGAAAATGTAACAAGTACAACCTTGAATTCCTCATGGCCAAATTTTTCTGTAGGACACTTGAGCACCCTGATTGTAGAAGTAAACTGTATCTTTTTGTTTTAATGTTGCTAATTGATAGCACAATATATTTTGTTATCATATTTGTCAGGTGTGCTTGTGAAACAAATAAATGTACACTCCTATATCAATATGCTGTTAACATTATAAATTAGTAACATTATTTTGCTAAATAATAAATAATCAGCACTACTATGTTTTATTTATCATTGAATAGAGAAAATCTGTCACTACAATGATACATGTACAAACGTTAAAATATAATTTGATTTATCAACAATTATTTATATAGAAAAATACCCACCCTTACAATAAAATTGTTTGATTACCACCTACGATTGCCAATTATCTCAACACTACACGTACCCAAATTTGGCTATTTGTTTTCAGTTAAAAGTCCGACATGAGCAGGTAAAGCCATGTTACCTACTTGACATGAGTTTTCTAACAAAAGTGGGTTTATTTTCGGTTAAAAATCCTGAGCTCATACTTGTAGCGAGTTATACCTACTTTTACATAAACATGATTATGTGTTTACGTTTAAAGTCAAAAATCAACCAAAAATAATTGTTAATCAAGTGCGAATTTATTTATGATTTTAGTTAAAAATAAACTCCAATTTGTTAACAAATCATGACGGTGGGTAACAGAATACCAAAATAGTTACCCGTCGTATTAGTCGAGATAACTGAAACCAATTGATAGTTGAGGTGACCCTCTATTTCAATCACACTTGTATCACATACTGTAATCACATCTGTAAAAGTTATAATTTTATAAAAAAAAAAAAAATCAGAAACATTTTTTTTTTCTATTCTTCTGTATTATGAAACAGTACAAGAAAAATCATAATCACATTAAATGCAGTTGAGTTTAAAATGATTTTATTATTTAGGTGTACCTTGGGACATTCAACCTAATCTAATGTTTCTATAGAATCATTTTATACTTATTTTATATTTTAGTATTACCTAGAATTTTAGAAAAATAATTTTTAATATAATTATAGTACCTACCTACCTAACAGTTCAATTAATTTGTTATTGTGAAAGATTACTCTAATCAGTCTAATAAGTTACTCTATAGTATAGTTCCAGATGATAGGAGTAGTCTAATTTCTAATCTAACAAGAGTATAAAATAATAAGCATAAATATAAGATGAGTACATACTAATATATAAAACAAAGACAAGATTGTGTACAACACGTTTCATATACAGAAAAAAAAACTAATATTACTTAATACTTTTTAATAGTACTATTATAACTGAAATAATAGAAAACTTCAATATTGACGAAATAAACGAAAAACAAACTTTTTAATGAATTTATAAATATAACTAGAAACATAAAGCCACTAATATTTATAATATTTCATTCAAACACAGCAACAACATCGATAATGTATGTAGGTAATAGGACTCTTTAACAATAACAATATAATATATTAATTTTATAACTAGCACGGTTTACTCGTAAATTATTATATTTAATATTATACTATGTAGAATCAAACTATTATATGAAACATTTACTGTGATTTGATATCCATTATAATATTATATTATAGAATATAAATTATATAATATTGTTTATAAATAATATATTACAATTAATTTTAAAATGTATTTTTATTTATTAATTTTTTAAGTTTAATAATTAAACAATTATTTGTATACCTTATATAGTGGTATAAACTTAATTTAAATTTTTTAAAAAGAAAGCTTACGCAACCTATTGGATGAAGACCACTGATATAAGGTATAATTGGATAAATATTCCAGTTAAAATATAATAAATATAAATAAAATAATGATCAAATATTCATTTTTATATTAATATTTTTGTCAAATAATGAAAATAGAATAGTATTCAAATTTTTTTTGTTTGAAGAAATAGAAATATTTAAATTTTATACTTTATAATTGCTAATAGTAGTTAGTGGATCATTTGTGAACCTCTCTAATCCTGTCTGAATCGCCTTATTCATTTTTGTTATATTTTGGTCTTAAGAGCCATTTTTATATGTTTTTAATTTAATTAAGCAAATTGAAATTTTCTATTTGAAAATTTATAAAAATTTAATAGATAACTATATTTTAATACAGTTAAATTTCAAAATACTATTCATTAGGTGTAGCCCTTTCTATATCTTAATCTTATAGTGATGTATGACGCAATAATTTGTATCATTTTTGTCAATTGACTTCATCCACACATAGTTTCGTTCATTTTGTTGTATATACATCAGATTGATCTCCGCTTTATTTTCCCTTGCTGGTGTAACAGATTTATCCAATATGGTTTTGTAGAAATTATTTGTCTAAAATATAAAAATAAATATAAATATAATATTCTATGCAATAGAACTTAGAACTTTATGCAATAGACTTTTTTTTCTGTTTTTTCAATATATTGTTTTTTTTAGTTTCGCCTTTCACAGCTGGTAAATATTGAATGGACGTAAATGTATCACTCTGAAAATAATACTAGCTATAATGTTGAGAAATAGTAAAATAAAAATAATCAACTGACATCGCTGGTACTTTCGCCTCCGAAATCAGTTTGTATGCTGTACTGGTTTATTTTTTGTTTCGTGGTAAAAATTGTCTATATATTTAACTAAAAATAATTAAAACAATCCAGTAGGTGCATAACGTTATAATGCAATTTTATTAAAACAATGCTTTTAACAGATACTGCCAGTGAAAACGTCCAACAAAAAAATTGTAAACAATATGCACGGTACTATAGACTGGTAAAAGAGTAAAGAACGAACACAATCAATCTTTACGTGCGCCAATTGCATGAAGTTCTAAATAGCAAGCATAGACCTATTAACAAATTGATATCTTAGTCCATGGTATAAATTCAATGGTAATAAAATAATACACAAGTTAAAAATGTTTAATCGTGGTACTAACTATAAAATAAATAAGAATACTATATGATAGTAGACTGTTATTATTGATCGTTGATTCATTGATAGGCACTCCTGATACGGAACAGCATTTATCGAAGTTGGTTAATCCAATAATCCTGGTACGAATAGGTATGATTTTTGATGAATATTTCTTGAACGTTCTAATTAATAATTGTACGGGAACCATAAATAATAAATATACAATACAAGAAATAAATATGATAAACAATTGTTTATCTATCTCAATGGTAAACAATAATATTTATCTCTGATAGATACGTATCATTTAACATTTTTCTACTTTAAAATTCTTGGTTGTCTGACGTCATTTCATGGAAGAGTGGATCACGTGCATGATGTAATACGTCGTCAGCGTTGTAGTTTTTGTACCGTAGGAATTATCGTTTTACAACGCGAAATGAGCATAGAAAAATGTCATGTCGAAACACCGCATTTAACGATAAGGATATGAACATGTTTTTGTTTCACTTTGAACAAGACTTCCGAGACTGGTGTCGTTTTTCTCTGCCATGATTTCCACGACGATGACCTGTGTTGATTGGCTACAGTTGGCTACCCGCAATAGGATTCCGTGCAGTTCTGCCGTACAGTGTCTGCTCACAGGCGGCTCCTGTCTTCTGTGAATCTGGACATGTTTTCAGGTTATTTTACAGTCGGAAAAAATCGGTGAAGTCTGCAGTCCCTCTGTGTAATACATATAATTAATTAATTTTTATTATTTTCATTTTTACTCCTATACCGTAACAACATAGTATACAAAGTGTATTTTATAGTTATTTATTTATAATTTTTTTACTTTCATAGTTTTATACATGAACACGACAGACCAATTACACAACACATTTCTGCTGCCCTGGATTCAACGTGAGTAAAAAAAAATAAAAACATTAATATAAAACAATAAAACATGGTATGTCTAGTACAATATTATGTCGTTCGATATATCCAATATTGTATACATTTTATACCTTTGTGCTGTCGCTCTGTGCACACTAAGTGTCGTCTTTTTTTGGGGGGGAACTTTGGCGCGATTTCGCCGAGTGGCTGGTTGGACAACGGCACGGCATGTTCATAATAATCCGTCCATTTACGCCAGCTAATGCAAACTTGACATGATCAATCAGCTCTGCGCCGAAATTCTCGAGCGATCGTCACTTTCGGATGTTGTAGGTATCTCGTAAATATGACGTACCTACATTCACGGCTATTCTATGCATACCTAACCTTGTGCCGCCTTCGCCTTCGTGTTGACCATGTGATAATAGCGCCTCGGGTCCTCATCGCTCACGGTTCGCCGACAACGACAAAACTTCTGAAAGAGACTCTAATGCCCAATGCTATTATATTAATAATTCATCCGGATTTATCGCACATCTTTTATAACGGTTAAACCGACAACAAAGCGGTTTTATATGGTTTGAAACGTGCGTGGCCCCAATACATATTTTATTTATCAAAATATAATCGGTACATATGTCGTATCCATAGAGTGTACCTTAGACCGATTTTTTTTTTTTTTTTTTTATAATGAGCATTATGACTAATTATCGATTTTCCATATGGACGTCATCGACAAATAATATTCTGTTGAAATTTGTGTACTTACGTAAAATAGAGCATAGATAATAGAATTGGTGATTGAACCATGACTTGTATATACTATACAATAAAATGAATAAACAATGTTTGGATTGGTTGATAAAATCGTAGAAAAATACCAGATTCATCAAAGTACAATAATTTACCCATAACTTTTATCATTAAATTTGATATGAAAATAATTTTTGAACTATTTATTTATCTATTATAAGCTTTAAACAATTTAAGTAGGTTTTATAAAAAGTGTTTTAACCACACATAATCATATATAATATTTACCTTATTCTTTAGTTTCTATTAATATAAAACCAGATATACCTACAAATTATAAAATTATCAATTTATTTATTTTTTTTTAAATAGCATAATACTAATCATTTAGCCCATTAGCCGCAATTACCACTTATTCCCATTATTCTCTACTCTTATCAAACTCCGGTTCTCATGTATTTGAGCATGCCACTGCTGTCTAGGTCGTCCCTAGGGCTTCTTCTTATCCTGTACCCAAGAAGTTATTTTGTTTAACAGTTTTTCTTCTGTGTGCCAAATATACTCAGCCCATCCAATCCTTTTACCCTTTATTATTGCTACTATGTCTGTTTAATTGTAAAATTTATTTGAATTATCATTAGTTTTGCACTCATGTTCTTTGGTTTCATTATTTTTTTGGGACCAAATACTATTGATAAGCTTTATTTACAATAAGGTCTGGGAATGTAGTGTGCTCCTTAAAACCCCCAAAAAGGATAAAATAAATAAAGCTCTAAAAAATGAAAAAAATTGTCTTAAAATATAAAAAATGTCTTACTCTTATTTAATAAAAATAAAGTGAAATTTGTAACAAAACTTGACAAAGCAAGCTTTGAAAAATTCAAAATACTGCAAAGTGCATTGAAATCGCAGCTTTAATTTTATGAATAATATTAGGTAGGTATATGGCCAAATTATACATGTGAGACTGCCTGTTTGTATTTCAGATTCTGAATGGAATGTATTGATTTTACAATAATGTTTATTTTTTTTTTTGTTGACAACTTTTCTTCCAGAAATTTTGATCCAATTTACAATGATAACATTTTTCTGAAAGAAAATCTAACTGGGGTGGTACTCTAGGAAAGTCATTTTTTGATTTTTTTTTTTTTTTTAAGAATTTTCCAACAAATTGAAAAACTTAGAAAAATTGAGAAAAAACGGGGAAAAAGGTACAATATTAAACAAATATTATAAAATAAAAAAAATGTTAAATTTATTTTTAACTATTATACTATGATTTAATATTGTTGATAAAGCAACACTATCAACCTAATTCTGCTCAGAATCATATTTTCGTTAACAATGATTAATCATGTTGTGTACAGATATACATTAAATTCCCATCTATACCGTAGCTTCCCAATTTCCAACAGTAACTGCACCCGTTCTCATTCTAGGACAGTTTTTTTTATATTTATCTGAAATAGGTATTGCAAGTATACAAATGAGTTAGGTAAATATATTATAGTCATTGTAGATTCTGTTAATGTTAGTATTATTGATAAGTAAACACAATTTTTCAAGTTAAACACAAAAATGCTTAAGAGTATACTAAGCTACATAATGCATTTATTGTCTACGTCTTACAAACATACACTATAGCAAATTTGAGTTGAGCAGACTTTGTGTTGTTAGTTTCAATATTAGAATGAACAAAATACATTGACCTATCAAACTTAAATGTAAGAACATTTTATTTTTTGTCGGTTTTAAAATTTTTAAGCAAGATAAATATGCGATATATTATGTACACTTTAAAACTTCTTATAACATGCTTCTAAGTTAAAATAACGAGAAAAAAAAGAGAATGTTTTTACTTTTAAATTTGATAATTATTGGTACACTCCAAAATTATAACTAAAAGCCCAAATTTGTCCCTACTGAATGCAAATACCTTGCAATGTCATAGTGTTGTGCATTTGTAAGACAAAGACAAAATATGCATTTGTAGTATCTTCTTAACACAATTTTACTTTTTAAGAAATGTAACTAATAAATACCTAACTGTGTTGTTAAATTTTAGATAATTCAATTACGCAAATTATGAGTTGGATTTACAATGCCAGCCGCCAGCAATCAAATAGGTTCAGCCTTATTTCATTCACTTTCTAGTAAAGTTACTGACCACAGAACTCACCATACTGTGGCAGACGATCATTCTAGTTATTTATATATACCAACAAGTAGAATTTTAGATAAAAATATAGAATTTGAAATGTTGGAACATAAACCATCCATGTTATCACAAATGAAAAACAATTGTATCATGTTATTACAAAATGGTTGTAGTAAAAAAGATATAATTAAAAAAAATGAAAGGCTAAATGGGGATTGTAATAAAATATCACATTTACCTAAACCAAAAGTTGTATTGTTTCCTCCCGAACGTGTACAACTCGGATGGCAAGATAAAAAAATGTCAGTTGGTTCTGGTTTAGATAATTCAGGTGTAATATGCTACATCAATTCTACATTGCAAGTATGTATAAATGTTTTTAACTTTCATATTCACTCATTGTTAGTGTTTGGTTATTGATAGTTTTTAATTATTTTCAGGCATTATTCCATATTCCAGCATTTACTAATTGGTTAATGAACGATGAACAACACCAAAAAATTTGTCAACAAAAAAGTAAGCAAAATATCAAAGCCTTAATTCCCAAACAAGTGCTGACACTTAAACTTTTTCATTATACATTGGTGATTTATTTTTAACTTTGAAATGAATTATAATATTTTATTTATATTATTAAATATTGAATTGAATTTATTATTATATTATTACTGTATAATCATTTAAATGTATTAATATATACTTTTATTTTAATGTTAGATGGATTTCAAAAGGATTGCATTGTCTGTATGGTTAGCGATACATTTTTAATGTCTCAAAAACAAACTGGTTCGAGCTTTAAAGCATCCATTATAACTAATCGTCTATCTTGTGTGTATTTAAAATATTATTAATGTTGTTTATAGGCAAGTAATAACTATTTTAATTTTCAGTAATATGTAAACATTTGTCGACAAACCGTCAAGAGGATGCCCATGAGTTTCTACGTTACCTCATTGAAAGTATGGAAAGGTGCTATTTGTCTGGTTTAGGACATGCTGCTAAATCGTAAGTTACATGATCTTTATTAATAATTACAAATCATAAAAGAATTTAATTATAATATTGTTTATTTAATTATTTAGTTTAGATATTTATTCTAAAGAAACCACACCAATTAATCAAATATTTGGTGGTTATATCCGAACTGAAGGTATGTTCTACTTTTTTAAATTAAATCTTGATGTTAATTAAATTTAAATTTTTAATTTTAGTAACTTGTGGGAAATGTGGGCACATATCGACTACATTTCAACATTTCCAAGATCTCATTCTTGATATAAGGCATTCTGATAATGTTAATGCCGCTTTAGATAATTATTTTGAACAAGAACCTTTAGATGAATCATATGTGTGTGAGAGATGTCGACGGCAAGTTGCTGCTGATAAAAAGTTTTCTATTGAAAAAGCTCCTAATGTATTATGTATTCAGTTAAAAAGGTAAAATTTAATTCATTTAAAATTATGTTTTAATAGTTGTTATTCAAAAATAATCTTCAATTTCTTCCACTTAACATACAGGTACAGCGTTAGCATGGGTGGATTTGGTGGAAATAAAAACAGTAAACCTATACAAATCAATGAACGATTAGATTTATCCAATTATCTATTTGACCACCATAAATTTAAAACTAATGCTCGACCATTGAAGTATCATTTAGTCTCGATGGTAATACATTACGGTTCAAGTCTAAATAGTGGACATTATACAGCTCTTGGACTAACCTCCTCTGGATCATACTATTATTTTAATGACTCAAATGTATGTATCTGTATAATATTATCTAAGGTTTTGTATTTATGTCTAATAGGCTTTTTTTAAATATATTTAAAGGTTTATGCGACAAATTTTAAAAATTATTCAACAAGCAATGATTCGTATATTATATTTTATGAACTTGAACCACTAGTAAATTCAGGTAATACAATTTTTGAAAATAAGACATCAACTGTATCATCCACTTCAAGTTGTAAATCTCCAGTAAATGGATTTTTCACGAGTATGTATTTTAAATTTGCAGTAATGGGTACTTCTTTTATATTTATTATAATTTTATATTTTTGTGTCTAAATATAGACAAGAGTAATGGTGTCACAAAACAATTCCAATTGAATGGAATAAAAAAAAATAATAACAATAAAGACAAAAGAGGACAAATATATGATAAATGGAATTCAAATGTTAGTAATCTGTAAGTATATTGTAAAACATTTACTTTGGTTTGCTTTTTATGTTTATGATCTTTTATGATTTGTTGGAATTTTACTAAACATTATATATTTAATTCAGGTTGAAGCATAAGCAAAAAGAAAAACAGTCTGAACCATCTTCGAATTCTAGTAATAAAACAGTAGTATCTTTAAATACTATTAAACCAATGACAATATATAACACATTAGTACCTTACTATGATTCTGATGATGATAATGATACTGGAAGTAGTAGTTCATTAGTTGTAGAAAATAAAACAAAATATACAACAGATCAAAAAGTCCCAGATAAAAAATTTTCAGCGCCGAGACTCGATTTGACTGATAAAGTGTTCCCCAAAAAGTGTTTGGTATTAAAACCGCTAAATGACGATTCTCCTCCCCTTTATGAACGAGAGAAAAACATTCTACCAATAAGAAAATGTTTAGTACTTAAACCTAAAGATGAAGAACCTCCAGAAATTGAAACTGAACCTGAATCTAACAAAAAATGTTTAGTTAGACCTCCTAAAGATGATTGTGAAATTAATATTTCTAAAGTATTTCATTTAATTGAAGGAAAAGATACGGATAAAAAGAATCGTCGTCGTGAAAATGGAATTTCAGAATCAGACAATATTAAATCAAAGGCTCGGTCTGATCATTGCAATTATAATGGGTTAGTTTTTCAGTGAATTTTAATTATGCAAAGTTATTTTATAATACATAGTGATGAAATTTCTTAATTATTGCAATGTATTCTATGTGGGGATGGCAAAATTGGTCTTAGGAGTCTGATATATATCGGAAATTATTATATCAATATGATGATATATTTTTGCAAAAAATATCAATGATTTGAAAATTCTTTTCTTGATTAATTATTAAAGTGTTATTTTGTGATTGAATAATCCTTAATTTATTTTTTTTAATTTAGTTAGATCCATAGATATATAAAACTACTAGATGACTGATTGTTATATCAATAAGTTTTCCGCCATTTTGTTGTATGAGTAATTTTCACATTATGTTTATTGAATAATGCAATTACTTATCAAAAACAAATTATATTATGCAGTGCTATTATTAAATACTAATTACTATAAACATATTCAAAGTAATTTAAAATTGGAAATATTTAAGTCACACAGATACATAAACACCTCGTTGCATTTGACAGTGATAACACTATCATACTGATATAGTGAAAAAATTAAATATATGTTTATTAATAAGGGTATGTCGATATATTTTTTGCCATCTCTACCTCTTAAGTGAATCTTGTGAGAGTATAAAAAAAAAAGGTCGATTGTATTTTGTGTGCGCTAATACCTGTAACATAAATATTACTTATGACACTAAACATATTCATATGGAACAACATTGATAAACTCATTATATAGTTTAATATTATTTTCTTGTTTAACAGAATTAAGTCACCAAGCGATTGTAAAACAAATGGAAATAGTTCTCTTGAGGAAAAAATTTGGTAAGTTTTTATGCACTATAATAATTAATATATCCAATTTTATAATAATCTGTTTAACTTTAAATACTTTCTTTTTTTAGTGGTAAGGTAACAAATGGAAATATTTATAAACTCTTAAATGGAAACAAAACCTGGTAAGTCATTTGTTGTTATATATTTTTTGATTTTGTTGTAATAAATGGGTAATTTATTATTATTACTTATTATAGGCCTAAGTTATCCAATGAATTTCAACCTAATTTTAATGGTAAATCTAATGGATTCAGTTTTAAAGACAGTTTGAAGTCAAGAACACATTTGGGTTTTGGTGGCGATGGTAAATATAGATTATTTTTTTTCATATATGCATTAATCATACTATAATAGCTTTTGAACTAAAGCCATAACTGTGGCAGTTAGTTGGATATAGTACTGCTATATTTTCAATACATTTATAATTTTTAATTTAACTATTACAACCAATTATCTATAAACACAAAAATTGAATTGTTTTTTCTTTAAATTAAATTATATCTTTTGTTAAAAGGATTTATATCATTAATAGATAATCAAACTTAATTACATATAATCTATTTATTTTTTATCCGGGCCAGTTCATTGATTTTTATTTATTTCATATTTTTTTTGTAGATGTCCTTAATAAATTATATTAAATAATATGTTTCCTTTTTTAGTGAAGCCTTCTCCTTCGCCTTTATCCCAACTATTTAAGGCTGGCTACCTTAGTCCTAAACTTTCACTTGTTCCTCTACATCGTCTTCATATCATCATTCTCAATCACATCTAACTAACTTTTTCGGTCTTCCTAGCTCCTTCTTTCCTTCTACATCTATTTGCATTACAATTCTTACTACTTCTGATTTCACTCTCCTCGTGCTATTCCCAAACTATTTAACCCAGTGGTTTTCAAAAAAATTTTGATCACTACGCTTTGCTTTTCACAACATTTTCACGACGACACTGTGCCTTTTTTTTGTCATTTTTTAATTTTTTGCCCAAAATTAAAACTAATAACAAAATTGATGAGTCATAAACATATGAGTTATGATTTCATACTTAACAAGCGAATCATCGCAACTGGTGATTCTGGAATTCAGTGATTTTGGAAACCACTGATCTAACCATTGAAGCCACATCTAACCTATCTCTTATGCACTCATTCTCTTTCCTATTTTTTTTGTCACTCCACTTAACATCCTCATCTTTGTTTTAATTTTCTGTTTACAGCCCAACATACCGAACGATAAAATATAGCCGTTTTTTTTTAGTCAAATAAATTAGAAAAAAAATAATAACAATTAATACATTTTTTTCTCATTATATTTTTATATGATACTAATTATCTAATCCAATCTAAATTGACTTCTATGTGGTCAATATTTTGTTCTTACAGCATATCAATAATGTTAAGCATTTTATGTACATTATTTTATTTATTTATTAAAAGTTTAGATTTATGGTAATGATAATCTTCATGAGAGTCATTTATTTGGGTCATAATTTCACATTATTAAAATGTAAGCTTCTTGTGATGAAAAATGTATTTATTTTATTATAACTGATAACTGTTGATGACAATTTTATTATCACCACCCACCTCTGAAGAAGTATATTTATAATATTATAAATGGATTTTTCGTTCTTGGTAACATTTAGTCCTTGGTATTGTTTTTTCACATCGTCAAAGTCTATTTAAAATATTAAAACTATAAAGTTTATAAGTGTAAACTTCTATTCATTATAAGTTCACTGATATTTATTAGTTAAGTTTAAGTTTGGTACTTACTAAATTATTTTTTTATTTTCAAAAAATTCAGACTTCTATTGTGACCTAATCAGTTGTGCCGGTTAGTTCTCTTGAAGGAGTATTCTGTTTTGTTCTGACTGAAATTTGTGTATTTTTGATTGTATGAGTTGTTCAAAATAATTAGAGCAAGTTTCATAGTGTTGGTGATAAGTTTGTTGATATGATTAGTTTTTAACATTAGTATTAATAATTACACTACTTGATTATTGTAAGATTATTAATCATGGTTTGACTTATTGAGAACTCTATTAATGTCGCATGAACGTGCAATGCCAGACAAAAATTTGTTTGTTTCGTACATTGTGAAGTATCATTAGAAAAGTCTTTAAAAATACAATAAAGGTTTTATATAAAATTGTTTAGAGATTATTTTATGATAACCTTGTAAATTTGATTATAATATGTCTCCTTTAACTTCCCGACTAAATGATTAATGAAATTTCTTAAGATATTTTTAAAGAAAATATTAATTTATAAATATTTCAAATGAAAACTATTTTGATTCAAACTTTTTATTTACTAGTGTTTGCAATATATATGGTGTGTTCGCCGACTTTTCTAGCACTATGTTAGGTTAGGTTAATTTTTTTTCCAATCTGTTTGTCTTTAAGGAGGTCATTGATTTAGAGAACAATTAAATTTCTATTTTCATCCTCTAAACACACAAAAAAAAAACTTTATTTATTCGCTTCAGGAAATTTTCAAAACAGCCATTTTGTAAAAAAAAATGTATTCAAAAAATTTGAATTTATCACACATTCATATACAATAATTTCCTAGTTATAGCCGTTTTAATTCCTAGAAAATAGTCGGAAAAACAATTAATATTGATAAAAATAACACATTATGTGATAAAGAATGACAATCAGTATGATAATTTTTTACTTTTTATTGAATATTAATTGTTTTCATACCTAATTAGTAGAAATTAAAACTGCTATAGTTAAAAAACAATTAGATATGAATGTATGATACATTAAAATTGTAAAAATAATATTTTTAACAAAATAGCTATTTTGAAAATGTACTAAAATAAATATAGTTATTATTTTTTTTGTGTTTAGGGGATGTATATAAAAATTTAATTTTTCCCCATACCGATATCCCCCTCGAAGACAAACCAATTGAAAAAGAAAAGAATCATAGAAAATATAATATTTACAGCGCTAGAAAAATCCATCGAACACGGAAAAACACTGTATATCCATATGACTATGCATACATTTATGTTGGATATGTAATCATTACTTAAAAACTAAGAATAACAAATGAACTATTTTTTTAAAACCCTATGTATAAGTCTATGACACACCTGTGTTTATATTACTATGAATGGGACAAATAAAGATCTTATTATAAGTAATAAAAGTAATTGTGACAACAGTATTCCCTCCATTTGCTTTCTATCACAAATACCCAGGAATAAAATATCTACTAATTTTTTGACTATTATGAAAAATCCTCTTGGTTATGTAATTTATTTATATTAAATACAAATAACTTATGATGAGAAATTTATCAAATACTAATCTGATTTATATTGATGACAATCATGTTATCACCACCCACCTCTGAAGTATTTAAGTTTTATTTGATTTTTAAGTAAATCAAATTTTATAAATTTTAACTAGTTAACTGCACAGTTAATTTTTAACTATATATCATTTATGTAAATGATTTCAATTTAGTTCATTTGAGTAATTACATGATATCATGTAATATTGTTTTTCGCTCCTATCTGAAACATAAATTAACCGTAAATTATTTTAATATAATGTACACACATTTTTATATGACAAAATATATTTTAAAAGTTGTTATTTTACTCAATGACTACAAATTAATTGTCTCTAAAATATTATATTTGACCCATTACAATAAATAAATAATAGGAAATTAATTATTATTTTGTTGGATATTGGGGTTGAATTGATTTATTATTTGTACTTTTTAACATACAAATTTGTAAATGTGGTAAAATTTCTTTACTGGCCCTGGTATGATATTTAACTATTATTTTTATATATTTAAGTGTCTACATTTGATGTGTTGAAAAATATTTTTTTATTATCTTAATTATTTACAAAAATAAGCAGCTTTAAAATAATATTTTACTGTAATTCTTTGTCGCCCTTATTTTTAGGTGAAACCATTATCTTCTTTAGATTTTCAAGTAGCAACCTACACTGAAAATTCTTTAAATGGATGATGTTTTTTTTAGTTTAAATACAAGTTTGGTCAACCGGTTGAAAAAAATTAAACTAATAAGTTTGACTAGGGGAAGAGTAGTGAAGCATCATCTGTGTGGTGGTACAACTGTGTTCAACTACTCTCAGCTACCCAAACTTAAAAGTGAAATATCTCATCAACAGGTTCATTCCCAAAATTAAGGGTGAACAAATTTAAATGTATACAATTTTAAAGAGTGTATCTAAAATTTTAAAATATTCAATACTTATCAAACTATCTAGTATTCTATTCTTTTAAAAGACACTTAAATGGATCATTTTATATTTATAAACTAGATTAATATAACATTTTTTATAACACTAAATTTAACTAAACTTCCCAGTTTTGGCTTTAGTTTATTGATACTTTAGTATCGTAAATATTCGTTCCTTAAAAATATAAATAATTTTGAGTTTTAGGGTTTGGGGCTGAACCTTACATTATCAAGTATGTATTTATAGGCGCTTATGAAAAGTGTGAACTTTTTGAACCAGTGAATTCCACATGCATAACAAAATATGCTTATTATATCTTCAGATCGACTTCACTACAACTTTTTTTAAGCGCCTTAACGTACTCAATGATCACCTTCTTCGGGTGGCCCTGGATCCGCTCAGCGAAAATACTGTCATTCAACACAATATGGCCACGGCAAGGCCTATTCAAAAATCACATTTATGTTTGATTTCTAAATGTGGTTTAAAAAAAATTGGCATTCATTAAGTGTAGTTATAAAACTTGCTCTTGACTCTAATACTAAACAAATTTGTAGAATTTTTGAATAAGAATATCTCCTAAATTTGAACAACATTAAATATAATCTTAAAATATTGATTTTTCATATCCATAATGTGATAAAAGTTTTAAAAGTTCTATCAGCATTATAATATGATGCTGTTGATTATATTTCCACACATCTGAATGACTTACAAATTTCTATTTAAACATATATTAATCAAATAATGTTTAGTCTGAAAAATGGTAAATAATTTTCAGAAAATTCAATGATTATTAAAGAATTGTATTAATAAATATTTTATTATTATTTAATTTTTAGTGAAAACTTGGAATGGTGAAAAAAGCTTTGTGGATCGAGAAGTTGAAAAAGATAAAAATAATGGAATAAAGCGCTCTATTGATGATGAATATAATGAAGATTTTGACAGAGGAGTTGTAAGTATTTTAATAATAGAATTAAACACAACTTTATTTTATTATTACAATTATAATAATTAATAAATTATTTTATCATCTATGGTCGAGCTAATAAAAAGTGAGCGCTGGTTAGTTGCTTTAAATTATTTAAATATTTTAACATAAGCTTTATTTTTATTTAGAGATTGTTGCTACTTTATTTTACCTAACAGACAACAAATTTATTCTTGATATGGTATCTGTTGCAGGTAAAAAAGAAGAAATTTGATAATAAAAATCAACATACAAATGGAAATAGTGGTTCGTCTGCTTTACAAACTTTACACAATCAGTTAAATCAATTTAATGGTAAAATGGGACGAAATAAAATCACCTGGATGAGTAGATCCAAAAATAATTATAGGTCGTACAACAGCAATGGATATCGACACAGCGGTACTAATGGCAATAATGGAGGATATAAGAAAAACAGGTATAATAATAATAATAATCGTCGTTATTGGTCCAAACCACGTTAAATATTTTCATCTTTAAGTTTAAATTTTTGTATTTCAAAAATGTTTTGTAAAATATATTGTATATTATTTAGTATTTAATATTTACTATTATAATTGAAGATAAAAATAAAATTACACATGTAAAAAGTTAATATCATTTGTAAAAAAAAAAACTTATGAATAGATTCATATAGTTCTATAACATTTATTATTGCCAACATGCATTCATTAACAGTTTAAAGAAAATATTCTAGTCTGACAATTTCAGCATTTTATTACAGCACGTTTTAATAGTTAATTTTCGGGTAAAATAAAAAAAAAGTTTTATTGATTTTATTTTTTTCTAATTGTATTATTTAGGTAATAAATTAGTAATTGATACTATTATTTTGAAAATACTTGGTCAATAGGTATTAAGATAGTTTTTAATGCTCTGCAATAAATTGAATTGAATACAATATTTTAATTTTTTTTTTTTTCTCATATATATGAGAGAATATATTTTATTCATTATCATTTTTAATAAATTAAGGAATGTTTTTTTTTTTTTTTTTTTTTTTCTTACATTATTTGACATACTCTGTACTTAAATAACTGATTTTATTCTTTTTTTAAAAAAAGTAAACTGAGTTTAAATGCATTTTCAGTTTTACTTTTATTTTATAAAATTTTTTTTTTTTTTTTTTTAATAAAAATGGTTTCATTTGTAATTAATAAAATATCCCTTCATTAGCAAATCCTAAATGAAAAATAATTAAAATATAAATATTTGATTAATTCTTGAAAAATATACAAAGGACTAAAATTGTTAAGTTTTTTTTTTTTTTTTAATTTGTCATTTGTCTTTACCTGTCATATATTTGATGGTTTTTTGTATATATTATATAATTTTTTTCTTCGTGAATTATGTGTATGTAAGTTTGAATTAGTATACAAAAATATATTACCTTCTATTTTTCCAATAATAAATTTTAAAACGATGGTGGTTAGGTGTATTAGATGCTGAAAATGTTAGAACCGCCTACGAATAGTTATCACCATGAGAGTGTGCATACTTAATTACATAAAAAAAAAAAAAATGACAAAAATTCGCATATTTTGTAAACCATAACTCCGAGTATTAAATACTATGGAAAATAATATACTTGAATCTGAAAACGTTAAAATTGAACTGAATGAAAATAATTTTCATGAAACTATTTCATACAAAATTATAAACATAATTCTTTTTTTTGTTACTATTCAATCCATAGATTGGTTCACAATAAATGTTCTCTCTGTGATTCTTTTGCATGTGTCTTATCCTTGAATTGTTTATATGAATCGGCTCTTGCATCTTTAATTTGTTGACTTATGTAATACGTTTTTTGCCTTCCTCACCTTACAGTATAAAGCTATAGAGTTTTTCGTTGTGTCTCAGCATATAGCGTAACTTTTGACTCAAATTACTTAGCAACATTTCATTTTACTAATTCTAGCAGTCCATTTTAATTTCTTCTGAAGTATTTTCATCTTTTGTTTAGCCATCCCCGTTGCTGCCATATAATATTTTACTCCAAATATATGTTTTAATTAGACATTTCTTTGTTCCTTATATACATTTTTTTTTGATATTAGTTTACTTTTAAGTTGAATTGCCTTTATTACGCTTCCTAAATATTCTGTTTTCTGCATACCAGTACTTATCCGTTTCAATAAAGTGCCGTTTTTTGTATTTTATTCAGATGTAGCTAACAACACTATATCATCCATGTATCGCATCATTGATACTTAGATTCTTCTTATTGTTACGGCTCCCTGATTTCTTATTCCTGCGAACTCTTTCTGTTTTACTTCTACTTATCCTTTTCCATTTCTTTCAAGTGTATTCCATTTCTCAAGTCTATTGTTAATTTATTACAGATCTTTGCTTACGTCATCTGCAAACATCATGCACCAGGATATCTCCTCTCACCTGTTGTCCCTGTGTACATCCGATATGAGATGACTCGTCAAAGTTTTGTTTAGAAAAATTTATGTCGACTTTACCTTTAACACATTATTTGATGAATTTTACAACAGGAAAATGTAATGTGGGTTTCTGTTTTCTGTTATACAGACCTTTGGTCGTTATCATCATAACTATTTTCCGATAATCCTTTGTTTTTTCCAAAAACTGTATTCGTCATAGTCTAACTGTTCTTTGATTCTATTGTACTCTCAAACACTAAAAAATAGTTTATAAAAACGTATGTTTGGAATGTAGCATTGTGTGAATGCAAGACACTGAATATAAATAAAAAATAAAAGAATCTATTAGAGGTTCTAGAAATGTGGTTTTGGATAATGATGTAAAAAATACGTCTGACTTAAAAGAAAACATTTTATTAAAGATTAAAGAGAAACAAAAACTAATAGGTACTCTAAAATAAAAATAAGACATGGAGAAAAATTACACTGATTATTTATTGAAAGAACAAGTTCAAGAGGAAGACTTGGAATGATATATATTAGCTAAGAGCGGAAAATGCAGCAGTCATTTCTTACATGGAACTCTAAGGTATTACAAAACGACTAGGAAACATAGATAAGGCATTTGTTGTGAATAAAATTTTATAAACCAATCTTTGGGTTGAAAAAAAAAAAAGGATTCCAATATCTTACTTCTAACCAATTTATTTTTCCCATTAGTTATTTTTTTTTTATCCTCCACCTGATTAGCTTTCTCTAATTATATTTTGTGACATTGTATTTCAATGTAATTATTTTCCAAAGAATTATAACTATCCATCACTATAAAGTAATAATATTTTAATGTCCCGCGATTCGTACAATAGGATTTGTGTTTTGCGCTTGTCATTGGTAAGACTACTTGTAATTTTTTTTAAATTTCTAAGTTTATAGGCTCTACTGAAGCGCCTGTTGTTGTAGTAACAATGTTTGTACTCCGATTTTCACGGTCGGTTCCTAACTTCAGAAAACATCCAGACTTCAGTGTTTGTTTTTGTTATTATTACTATTTTTTTTAAAAAAAAAAAAAAAGTAAAAGTTATTTTTAATCTACTGGTTACTATATATATATATATATATTGATTTTTCTTGTACATAAAATGTGTAAAAATGTAAAAGTTAGAAGACACTCGAATAATACTAGTTTTATTTTTCTTATCCTGTATATAATAATATATATATATTGTGCATAACTAAAGATAAATCCTATGTTTTTTTTTTTTCTATTCAAATCTCAAAATGCATTTGAATGTAGTATACAATATTGTATACTATATGTATTGGCAATACAATAAAGGAAATAATGTTTATCACACACATTATGTAACAATTATTTACACATATACGAAATATATTTAAATAACATTGTTAATAAAAAAAATTATTATATTATAGCAAATTTGTATTGTTAAACTTTTTTTTTTTTTTTGTTATTCCTATGTATAATTTCTTGATATAAAAAAATTATAATTTTGAAACAAAAAAAATATACATCATATATGTTCATAATTATTTGTATATTATATTTAAGTCAAAATAAACAATTACACATGTCAATTTAAAATGTTTTGATTGTAAATTTGTCGTTTGGCCCCGTAATGTGAACTTCAGTGTAAACATTTTCATTGTGGCCTCTTTCAAAGCGATTGACAACAAATCGAACCGTGTGCAGTACGCGTGCTGCCGTTTTAACTTCGAAATAAAAATCTCGGGACATGGTTTTTCGTCAGTTATATTTATTACCGACTGCCCCACCCGGCTGGCTTTGTGCAGTGAAACAAGTTTCTGAATAAACTCCATAAATTATCGTGGCCGTTACCACCGTAGACACCGGGAATACATTACAAAAATCAGTGCCCGACGGTGTGTTTATTTCGTGTTTCATCGGTGTCGGGTACCGCGGTGGTTGGTGCACGTAGATCAACAAAAACCGTTCGATTTTTATGTGCCGAAAGCCGAATTTCGAGCAACGGTGTTCAATGGGGGACGGTGGATTACAATACCCATAATCCGTCCGGTTAACGCGGAACAACTTTACAAAGTTTCTCGACGAACGGCGTGGTAAAAGGTGATGAAACCCATACACAAACGGGAAACGGATACGCGTTCGTTTTTGTATGCGAGTATATGTTGTAGGATTTTTATTGGGTAAAAACGTTAACGGAAAAACGGCCGAGCAAATAATGCGTACGGCGGCATTGATGTGCGTTTTCGCCAACTGCACTTATGTTTTCCGCCGGAAAATTTCGTAGTTTTTTACGATACCTCGTACCGTTGTTGTTTGAGGTCGCTTTGCCCCGAATTTTCCAGTTTTTTTGTTTTTTAAGCGTAGAAATCCACATGTATAAAATAAAAAAAAATCATTGCGCTTTTACAGTTCCCGAAAGCTAATGATGAGCCAAAAACGTGTACCTACCTATATCACGATTACATAGTTTTCGTTAATTTTTTTAAAAGTGGACCAATGTTACCCACGGGGTCGGCACATACTTTGCCCCGCATTAAGAAGTCTTACGAAACCGTTCAAATTGGTGACTGAGGCAATGTTTACAGTTCTAAAAAGAAACAGCACCGTCAAGAACTAAGAATGACACGTTGAACAAATTATTCCTGCCCAAACATATGCGTTTTACTGGCAAGAATAAATTCGAAAATTCTCGTAGACAAACGAATTCAATAAATCCAGTTCAAAATCGTTTTATTATGACAACCTTTTTAGCGGTAACATGAATTGCCTAAATACTGAAATTTGCTTTTAAATTGTTCGAAAACTGGATAAATACAAATCTCGATACAGTAATGGCTTTCGCCGTTAAATTGTTGACGTGATCGTATCTTAAAAATCCACTAGTTCTTCGCTCCACCGAAAAATGTTGACACTTTTTTTTGCCTTTAACGGTGTCACAAATGATAACGCCCTGATAACAGATAAAACTGCACGTATGGAGGACGTAAGATGTGCAATCACTATAACAGCGCTGCCTCCAACACACGAACTAAAATCGAATTTGTCATCATTTCTAAAGTCAAAAGTCTTCGCCAATTTTGTTTCCGGAGCGAAGTAACCCTAAACGTCGTTACGGTACAAAGTGAACGCGAGAAAGAGCGGATTTGCGGTTTATATCTGAACATAACCTAACGCCCGACCTAGTAGTGTAGTAGGTAAGTAAACCGACAGAGCGCGCACAGAGTACCGCCGCCGAAAAAAAAAAAATACGCCCTCGCCATCGCCGTTCACAAGAATTTATTAATTATAATTGTACTTACCAGTGCCATACGAGTACTGGTTGCGAGGAATCGATTGGGTTATACTTTAGTGTCTGTTTGTTTTTTTTACCCGCAAACGACTTTTCTACGAGAAATGTTCCTCTGGTCGTATAAACGTGAAATTGTCTATGACAAACGCAAATTTGTAGCCATTTAAAATTGTATGTGGATACGATTTGTGAGGCGCAAGAAAAAACGATCGAAAATTCAACACGGTGGTTTTCGATTGCGTTTGTACAATGGTATTATTTATGTACGGTTCGGGGCTTATTCGAAATGCAGTACTTACCCACCTACCTAATTATATACTCCACGAAACAGTAAACTAATTTTTTAGAGGGTGGGAAAATGGATAATTTGATTTTCCCGCAAATCGAATACGACTACGCCGCCGATTTTAGCATCTACCGAAATCAATCGTTATGGCTACAGCCGTTTCTCGCCTTTCTTAGCGACGCGAAACCGATTATTCATTTCTAGGCGGTCGTCCGTTTCGAATGGACGTCTTTTACGCCGGGCGGGTCGTATGTATCCGCACCGGTTCTTCGTTAAAACAGCCGCGTACCTATACCTAACCTCTGTTGAATCAACTCCTCCGGCATTCGGTCGGCCGTCTGCAGTGTTGCGGTCGAGATCGATATTTCTGAAATTCGATTTCGGGCCGTATACGGATACAGATGAACTCGCGCATGTCACGATTCTGCGACGTTCAAAACCGATTACCGGTAACGTTTACGCGTTTTCGCGTCCACGACAGTGCAATTCGAACCGCTTAGGCGCGTCGTCGCGGGCATTGCGGTTCGGCAAGCAATCGGTACGAACGCGTGATCACCGGTTGTTTTACGCGGCTTTCGGGCGAAACACGACGTTCGCGACAGGCGTCCGTAATGAATCGACGAGTTTTGACGGACGACGGCGGAATACCGAGCCGCAATGGAAATGGTAAATTTTTCGCCGGAAAATAGGGGGTGTTCGAAACCGATCCGTTTCGCGGTTAACCGCGTTATCCGTGCGCTTCCCGGAGTCGTGACAGTTGTTTTTTTTTTTTTTTTTCATTCAAATGACAACGCGCAACTATACCTTATACACGAGTAATTGTCGCGATAGCGCAGTATTTTATTTGCGAGTATACTCTGAAAACGTACGTACGTTCGCTTTTTCATTTCGATTTCTGCACCGCGCGCGGCCACGTTTCGCCGGGGAAAAACGGCGAACACGCGAAACGGGATAATCGACCGCCGTCGATCGAAAAACGACACGAGGCTTGGCGAAATACCGATTCAAGACGGTTTTATATTCACCGAAAACGGTTTGATTTTTTTTTTTTGAAAACAAATTTCGTTTTACCCGACGTACCCCCCCACCCCCGAATCAAAGCCGTCGCCTTTAGTTATTTCGTATTTGTCGTTTACCGCGTTGGTATTCGTGAAATTCGCGTTTATTTTTCACGCCGCATCGAGACCGACGTCCGAAGAGCAGGCGGACGAGACGCGAAACGCGTTCGTTCGTTTGAAAACAAACGAAACGTTTCATTTCCGTTTATTAGGAATATTCCAGAAACGTTTACTCCGGAGTTGATTCCGCGTGATTTTCGATTATTTCGCTGTTTCGTCACCGTTTGTAGACGACACTGCCAAGCGTAGAAATTCGTAACGCGCATAACGCATCGAGAGCGCATTCGCCGTTGAATTTCGCTCGTCTGCAACGCCGTCGGTCCGAGCGGCGCCAACAATTGACGCGTTGTATTTTGCAAGTGCGTTTTCCACAAATCGGGCGGGTACAACGTTCGATTGTGAATGTATACAGGCGCCGGTGCCCTACGAAGCACACGCTCTGCTTTGACGCCCGAACGTTCACAACAGCACTGCGCATCGAACAAAACGATCCGCGCTAAAAACGCCGAATAAAAATAGTAATCGAGTCAAGTAGAAAATTTCGACGTACCGCGGTGCCGCTGCGATTGTAAATTATCGAGGTGGGCATTACTAGACGGAAACGCGCGTGTAGCGTGCGCGCGCCAGTACTGTTCAACCGTCACATTTTGTCGACGGCGCCTCTCAACGAACGAAATACCGAAACAAACGATTTTGAACAATAGTTTTGTACGGGTACACCGGACACTTTGCAGAAGAAATTCAAATGTCCGTCCTGCGGCACAATCGGTTATCATAACGATTTAAACATTTTCCTTTCGTACAACGTAGACGTAGGTGTCGTTTATTTTTAAAAGTGACTAATTCGGTACCTAACGCAATATTATAATATATATTCCTCTATTGTATATCGAAACGATCGAGTGTTGTGTTATTATTTTTAAATCATGACTAAAATATTATGTTTACCGTATTAGTCATCGTCGTTTTTTTTTTTTTTTTTTTTCATTCCAACTGTATTATTATTTATCGAGTTCCCCAAAGAAAACTACGCCCGTATCATATTTTGCAGTTAATTGGCGCAACAATATTATTAACGAACGTCCGATTCTCGTGTCCGATAGTCAAATATTCGTCTTTTTAACACAAGCAATCGCGCGCCGCACGTGTAATTATAATGTACGGGACACGTAGTGTTTAAAACCGGTCGAATTATTTCTATACAAATCGAATATGTTTAAAACGGAAATGTGCAAATTTATATTGCCACGCGTTATAGATGACGAGTGGCGGACGGACACGCGTCTCATCCCCGAATAGTTTTCACCCACTTTGAATAAGACAGCCGATTCGGTACGGAGCTCTTTTTAATAGACAGGTACCTGTATTTAAATACACGGCGAGACGACTTAAGTAAGATACATAATTACAGACGTGACACTTAACGTTTTTATACACGTAATTAATGCGGACATTATGATAAAAAAAAAAAAATAATACAATAGTAATACCGCAAATTCAACCAATAAAATAAGTAAATAATTGATAAAATTATTTCAGAAACACAATAAATTAATAATTATCCATTTCAGTTTTTTTTTTTTTTTTTTTATAAACATAACCTTATCTTATACATTGTGAAATTTATAATTGACGCCGAAATAGAAAATAACTACGAGGGGAGACAATAAATATTGTACACGGACATTTTAAATTAATGAATATTATCAAATATTCTTGAAATAATCATATACACGCGCATGTTCATACACAAAGGTGATTCGAGTTTTAATATTCAATAAGCACACGTCCAATAAAACAGACACAATTTACGATACACAGGTAAATAGTAATTTTAAAATGTCCTTAATTGACCGTCGACTACGCATAAATTAGATTCAATCTGAAAATATAAATAACCGCTGTTCATTGTATTACGATTTGATAAGTAATTTGAAAATTATTGCTGGCATACTATTAACAAATAATATTGCCAACAACCAATATAACGTTGTTAAGGTTAATTGGCACGTAATGCTACTAGAGTTAACTCGTAATTCGGAAAGAACCTTTAGACCAAAACATTAAAAACAACTATAAAATGTTAATAACAATATTAAACGGCAATAATTGGGTACGTTTATTTAACGCGATACGGCTTTATTTCAATGGAATGTAGGTGGTGACTGCATACAAAAAAAAAATATGTATTTTATACGACCCTTTCAGTGTGCAATAACAGTCTGAGCTACAAATTGTCTCGTTTTCGAGTTGATACATATGACTAAGCCGCCTTTACTTAACTGTTTACCAGATGACAACTTAACCGTTATTGTACTATAAAGAACTACACTTCAATATCAATACTAAATATCCCCTATTGCACAGACCGCAAAAAAAAAAACAAAAAAAACAAAACAAAACCATAAAATCCACGCTGTTAATAATTATTTCAAGTAGCATTATTTTCGGCGAGTATTTTTCATTGTTTAACATTCACAGAGTTCATAAAATCAAAATAAAAGTCTAGTTGGGCATACCGTTTTAATAAGTACATAACACGGTTGCATGCTGTTTTTTTCAAGTACTTAGAATAATAATATTGCAAGCATGGGTATCACAATATAATGATGACAAAAAAAAAAACAAAAAAAACAAAACAAAACCATTTGGCGTTTATAATAAGTAAATCTTTATCTACATACATTATTAGTTATAACAGTTATCTAAAACGAACCGGCTATTGATAATAACTTATAATATTAATGTATTGATTAAACGAAAAAAAAAACAACTAATAATTATACGAAAACAAACAATGTAGGTATAGTTAACTAAATCAGCACCTAACGGACAATATAAAAATTTGTATCACAATCAGAAATTCATTAGTTTATTTGTATTATAATAATTATCAAAAAACTAAATGATTAAATATGTATGTGAATTTCGAGACTTGTTTTTCATTTGAACTTTGTCTTTGAAATGAAATAAACCATTACTGTTTGTTTCCAACAGAGGATTTTAATGTTTAGGCGGAGTGATGATTGAGAGGACAAGGAACACGGTCGACTTGAGAGAAACATAATAATACAGACAAGGCGGTTGGGCACGAGGAGAGAGTAATCAAAAGCATTAAGGACGACGGTCATGAAAATAAACGTAAGGGGCGGACGCTTGGCAAGGAGGTGGTTGCGATTGAGAATCGCACGGGGATGGCGTCAAAGTTAGGGTGGTCAAGCGGAAGTTTTAAGACGAGCGCGACCGAAATAATTGTCGGGACGAAGTCGAAGGCGAAGAAAAACAAGTCGGTAGTCATTATTTATAAAAGAATATGATAAAAATAGACGGTCATTGTGTTTATGGACGAGTTAATGACCCGTTACGTAATCTTACGGCTAACTACGATAATCATTTTTTTTTTTTTTTTTTATGTCTCCTTTCCACTTAGGAGTTTTTTCTTCCCGTCAGTTTTTCCACCAGTGGGTTGTGCCGCGGTAGTAAAACAATCCGAATCGAATAAAACGGAATGTCAGGCGGATGGGCACCACGTACATCTCGGAACAGCGGCGGCCGCTGAAAAAAAAAAAAAACAAAACAAAACCACGCGAACAAGCGTGGTCATTAAATAATCGAATCCCCGTTTGGCAACCGGACAAAACTCGAGGCTGTAGAAAAAAAAAAAAAAAACATCGTAACAGTTTAGAGATGCGATCAATTATTCAGTAGGCGCGCGAGCAAAATGTCGGCGGGCGTTTTCGTCGGGGGGGTTTTTTTTTTATTTTTATTTTTTTTCTGACGACGATTTCACACACGTCAGGCGCGCGACTCGCGAGGCGGCCGTCGGGTTTTTCGAAATCGGGGCGAACGCGAACATTGACCGGAAACGGGAGAGCAGAAACCGCCGTCGGGCGTCTGCGATATTACGGTAGGCGCGGTACCGGCCGTAAAGGGGGGGGGGCGAGAAAAAAAAACCCTCCCGTTTTCCATTCCGACGTCCCGCAAACACGGTTGTGTTATTATTTACCCGAACAGAGCGTGCACCCGCGGATACCCGCGTCCGGACAAGCGGCCGCCTTCTTTCCATTCCATTCCGGCACGGGAACCGCGGTAGTAAAATTCACGCGTCTCCGGGGACACGACTCCGCAACAGAAGTGAAGGGGGCAGCAACGGCGGCGGCGGCGGCCGACACATTCCACCGTCGCGGCACGAAACACAACGTCGCACTTTCAACGAACCTGTTATACATTATTTATACTCGGAAACATTAACAATACAATTAGTCACGCCAAAAATTAACGACTTGCAACGGCCGCGATGAAAACAACAAATACCCGCCGCGGACCGTCCGTCGTGCGCTCTCGGCGGTCCGGCCCGTACGCCTGCTGCTGCTGCTGCTGCTGCTGCTGCTGCTGCTGCTGCTCGTCCCGTTACAGACGCGTCCGCCGTTGTTGACAACGCGAACACGAGCGGCGCGACAATTTCGGCGTATGTCACACGGGCGGCCGGTGTCGCGCGCCGTTGCAAAAGCCGGCGACACCCGTCAACCGTGCGCGCAAAACGATATGCGACGAAACGGCGGCGGGCCACGGTCTAAAAATAAAACGGCGGGTAACCCCCTCGCCCCTCCCCCCCACCTCGTGTGTCACTATCGCCGTCCGCCGCGCGTGCGTCGCATGCTCGCAAATCGGGGTGGAAAAACGGCAACACGAATACGAATGCACACGCGTAATGCGCAACGGCGATAAGGACACAAATCCGCCCGGGGAGATTTACCGGGCGCGATATCGACGACGACGACGCTGTTCGTCGCGCGGCGCGCGTGCAAAGCGATGACAACAAAATCGGGCGGACGCCGATGATTTCGGAAACGGCCCCGGCCGTCGCGTTGGTTTCACCGTGAGTCACGAAATTAGCTTTCACAATGATCTCAGAAATGGTAAATCGTAAAATCTGACAGATCAAAGTGAAAACCAGCTTCGCGTCAAATGTACAGTACACGCCTGCCTAAAATACACGACACACCGTTGTTTTTACATACACATTAACGTTGACATTGTCGTAATATTGGGGAATTTACAAAAAAAAAAAAAAAAAAAAAAATAGACAATCAAAAAACGTTTAACGAGGTGGGGGGGGAGAAAAAACATTAAGGAAAACAAAAATGCGGTGAACATAAGAGCAGAGAGAGAAAAAAAAAAAATCGACTTTCCATAAAACTAAAAACGTTTCGCACGAAAATTTCGCGCGACTTACTTCAGTCGGTCGGCGGCGTTTGACGGTGCGCGGACGAAACACAATAACAGCGGACATGTGTTCCGGTCTTCATCCTGCGCATCCGATTATTGTTACCGGGACGGAATTCCGCGTGACGACTGAAACAACGACGTTGTTTTACGGACAGAAACCACGTGTTTCGCGGGGGGAGGCAGAGGAGGCGGTGGGTAGGACGGGGGAGACGTAGCTGAAATCCCGCATTTCCGGTCTCCGGTCTCCGGTAGCGTCGAACTGCTGCGAGTGGCGGTTCCGCTGCTGGGCCGCCGGCGATCCCGTCTGTCCGACGAGACGAAAAACGGACAATAGCGTTGCGATTGTTGACATCCGCACAAACAGACGACAGAGTACGCGGAATATTCGGGGGGAAAAAAAATAAATAGAATCCCTCCCGATCGGAAAAAAAAAAAAATAATAATAATAATGAAAAGAACCGTTGCGTAAATTTTCCGTGAAATATCGGCGAATGCGTCGGGAAATGATAGACGAAAAATAAAAATTTAATTTTCGAGCAAAAAAAAAAAAAAACCCGAAAACTCGTGCACAAACTCACACAAACGCATACGAATTCACACTAATCACAAACTCCGGAGCAGAGGGCGAAATAGTCGCTGGCTCGCCGCGCGCACACACACACATACGTGCACACACACACACACACACACAAATACTGACACACACAGCGCGGAACGACGGGACACGCGAACACGACCCGTAGGTAATAAAACAAAACGGCGACTGCGAACCCGATACCAACTACCGGGAGTACCGACGTCGTCCGACGAGAGACTGGCAGCTCCGAATACAGTTTGTACATGTCGGCGGGGCGAATACCGCGTACGGTTGGTACCGTGTATTATCGGGACGCGCGCTCGCTCGTTCTCGCCGCCGCGGACAGCGGGACACGGTATCGCTGTCTCGCTCGCTATCGCTGTCGCGCGCGCGCGCGCACACACGCGACGCCCGCGCCGCCGCGGCCAGGCTGTTCGCGAACACTAGCGCGCCGCGCGAACGTACGCGCATACTAATCGTACTACAATACGCACACCAGTCGTTTTCGTGCATGCGCGTTTGGTACCCCGCCCCCGGGACGACCGAAACGAAGACGCTTCGGGTCGGGGTGAAGTGTACGCGGGACCGATCGCACACACACACACACGCACACGCACGCACACATCGCATAGTACGTACGCACACGTGTGACCGTGTCGGCGGAAAACTCAGTACCACTGCCGTCTATCTGTTTCACTCGCTCTCTGTATCTCTGGCCCGTCGTCGCCGCCGGTTTCATTCAGAAAATAATTTACTTCCCACTTCGCCCGCCCGCCGGCGCGCCGCCGCCGTTAAACCGGGCGGGGGCAAAAATTGTCGGCGGACGTACGACGCAGGCGACGTCACCCCCTCACCGCCCGGGCCCCTGCCCCAGCGCAGCGCCGTTTAATAGGCGACATTCTTTTTATTCATATACACACAAATACATATGCACTCGTGTACACACACACACACACACACACACACACACACTCATTTCCTACGCGACGCCGACGACCGAATTTCATTCTCTCGCCGTCGTGTATACGTGACGTCATTGGCGTTACCGAAAATAACAGAATCGTACGACGAATATTCTCTAAATTTAATTAATGACCCCCCCGGACGATTTATTTGTTGTTATTATTTTTTTTTCATTTCGGATTGCCACGTGCTCGCACCATTTTCGCTGTAACGGCACTCGGATTAATTATTATTTCCCATGGCCGAACGGCCACCGAATTCGGCTATCGATTCGGTCGGTTGATTTCGAGGAAACTAGGCGATATAGAGAAAAAAAAAAAATAAAATAAATATGTTCGACAGAAATACGTTTACAATACCACGTCGCGATGATGGCGATGACGATGATGAGGTGAAACGGCCGCGGCAATAAACATTCCACTAGCCGCCGCCGCCGCCACACGCCGCGAATGCGTTGCGCACAGGTATCGAGATTTGCTGGTCTGCACTTTGAGCGCACACCCGGTGTGTTTTACACGCACGAATTGTATCCGCGCTACAACACCTCGCGCGCCTCGTATACTCTTTTATACCGCCGGAGACAAATATTTTGGAACGCGGCCATCAAGAACAATGTTGCGTTTTACGTGTGCCGCGGCGGCGACGGTGGTCGCGCGTTAATTAGGTTTAATTAAGTGCGCGCTCGACGGACGGAAAACCCCCGGGTGGCGACGCCGGTCGCGTCCCCCGGGGCGCCACTTCTGCCCCGCGTAAAGGTCGTCCGCGGCCCCAGCGTGCTACGACAGTAACACACTAAATTCAACACGTCTGCCCCGCCGATTACGTTTCGATCACGACGACGACGATAATTGTTAATGACGTTGTTGTTGTTGTTGTTGTTATTGTGTCTCGTTGCGCCCGACGTACCGGACACGCGAACGCGAAAGTCCGGCGAAACCGTCACGCGGGCGACAAGAACACCGCCGGCGGAGGAAAAGGCGAATATTTTCGCGGAATAAACGAGCGCGACTGACAGTATTATGCTCGCGATCGCGGCGAACCGATCTTCTTTTTTTTTTTCGGTTTTTTTTTTTTACGTGTATTTATTTTTTCCCATTACCGACCCGGGGGCCCGCGCGGCGCTACACTACCCGGGCCAATCGTAACCGTTAATTTATGCGTATCAACCGTAAAATCACCCCTCCGCTCCGTATAGGTAAAAACAATATAATATACCAGACGCACGTCCGCGGCACAACCCACACTTACACGCACCACCACACTTACACACACACACACTTACACACACACACACACACGCACACACAGTGGTGTTTCGAAGAAATGCGACATACCGCCGTACAACCGCATACCACAGTGTGGGTCGATAACCCTTGCACGGCGGCGGCTTAGCATTCAAACGCATCGACACTTGCACGCACGCGCAACGCAACGCGGTACTGACACACACGCGCACGCACCACGCGGCGGAGCGGACCGGTCCTTCGCCGCCGCCGCCGCCGCCGACGGAATGTGCCCCCCATTCCGCTGACCTCCGTGTTCCCACAGCTCGTTGGTGGCCCACCGCCGCCGCCGCCGCCGCCGCCGCCGTCGCCGCCACCACCGTCGCGTCGTCGTCGTTGTCGTCGTCGTCGTTGTTACCGCCACAGCCGCCCGTCGTCATCCTCGTAGCCGACGCCGTCGCGCCGCGGCTGCAGCGCGATGGCGTTTTGATTTTCGCGCGAGCTTTTCGCGTTCGCCGACGACCGGTAACCGAATGACCGCGTGTGCGGCCCCGCGGTCCGACGGCGCGCCTTATCCCAACCTAATCCGCCCACTCCCCCGGAATTCGAGAAGTCGCGGCGTGCGCGATGCCGAAAACGCATTCAACCCCTCGCGACGCGCCGCTACAACAATCGAACACGGTGCGTCGACGTAGGAGAATTCGGTTGTTTTTGCCACACGGTAACAACACATTTCGAATCGTATAAATTAGCAGCGGGTCCGCTGCAACAGCCCCCGCGGAGCAATACGAATCGTACTGTTTTTCCCATTAACGTTCTGCTTTTTATGCCCGCGCCGTCCGTCTCGCGTACCGACCGAAAAACGATTTTATCGCCGTTATATTAATGCGGTGGCATTCGAAATTGCCGCCGTACAAAAGTGAAAAATGTTAGGACGGGGACGAGAGGCGCCGCGGTCCGCGGGAGATCAAAAGTCCCGGGTATTTGCCGGACCGCGGCTCCGGTCTTATTAAAACGTTTGTGAAATCGGCTTACCTCGCGGTCCTTTGACGCGCCGACGAACGAAACACGGGGGGGGGAGGGTGTGATCCGCGGGCGCGCGCTGGCCGGGACGAGGGGGAGGGTCTCGTTATTTCGTAGACGCGCGGTAAAAGTCGCGTTGTCGGAAAATAAGGGTACTCGGAATAATCAAAGGCCCCCTCCCCGTTCACCACCCTGTAATGTATTCGCCGTCGAACACGCCGAACGTTATAATACACGTACTGTATGTAGGCGTGCGAGCGACGCGCGATTTCAAAACCCTCGATCGACACGATCCGCGCGCGACAGCCGCAAAAAGATTTTTCGGGGAAGTCGTTCTTCGTTTATTTCCCCTTTCGGTCGCACTCAATGACAAGAAAAAACCGATTGCAGATCCATAAATACAACAAAATTCGCCGGTTAGGAACACTCCCGGACTACGGCGAAACGTGTCAATTGACCGATTACTTTCAATAGACGATTGGTCACTGTATTTATTCATACTATCGAAAAAAAAAAACAAATTAAAAATCTTACAGTTGGAAATCGCGATATATATTCTTTTGTATATTTATTACGTTTTAACCTAAACTTGCGCGTTGTGCAAAAAAAAAAAAAAAAAAATGTACCTATCAAATGATGTCCGATTTTTTCGCTAGAGCACAACTTACCATGCCTTCGGAAGAGTAATGTTGCGCACGCAACCTTTTTCATCCACTACATTATAGATATCTTCCCGTTTCAAATAGCCGACGTGTTGGTTTCAATAATCCGATTGATTAGCCTAACCTAATCGTGATGGCATTTTGTTTGAATAACGCGGTCGTATCAGTTATCCGTGTTCGTGATTAGCGACGTCTACTGCGGTATACGGAGACAGCGGCGAAACGGAAAATGCGGTCGTTGGCTTCTCGAATTCGTTTAACGTTTAACGGTGCGCGGGCGCCCGACACGAACATTAGTGTACTTGCAGCCAGTGAACGTAGATGAAAACATTTCAGTTACATTGGGAATATCGGCGGGCCGGTGGGTATAGGTTATAGCCCAAAAAAAAAAAAATAATAATAATAATAAAGCCGAAACGCACTCGTCTGAATCCGAAAATTACGAAAATCGGATACCGAAGTCCCACAGAATTGAATGTCCAGACAATTCCACGGTGTCTGAACTAACGTTACGAACGATATCGCGTGCCGCAACGAAAATGATGGCCGTGACTGGGTTTTCGCTCGCGAAACACGTCGCACGCATCTTTCCACATGTTCGTCCAAAGAGATCGGTGAAAATGTCGGGGAAAAGTGATGGTGTTCCGACGTTTCTCGCGGGACCGGGCGATGTCGGAACCGGACGGTCCGATTCTTCTTCTCCTGCACGATTTCAAAAAGCGCGGACACTCGTCCGGGTTGTCGCACGGCGCCATCCGCGCCTGCTCTGCCCCGAGGAGCCGCGAAAACCGCCGGGACGGACCCGCGCCGTTTCCGTCTTTTTTACGCGGCCTCTGTACATTTTCGGTTTTACAGACAGCATTTGGCACGCACGTGTGCTGCGGACGCGACAGGAAACGATCGGAATTTCGCGCGCCGAACGCGTTTTGGATCTCGGCCACGGCGGCGGCGGCGGCAACGGGGACGTCTTTTATCCGCGGAGACGGTGCAGCCGGGAGACGAGCTTTTCCAAACGTCGTTGAATCTTATACAGTGACGAGAATATTATTTTGTATAACAAAACGGGCCGTGGCTCAGAGTACAGAACATTCTATGCATATGCACAAGAAATATATAAAAACAAAAAAAAATTAAAAAATATAAACTCTAGAAATTGGTTAAAGAAAAGAAAAATGATATTAGCAGAAAGAAACCGACGGGTCCTCATTAGCAACGCACACCATTCTGAACATCGGCCTATTCCGAGAAAAATTGGTGGTGCACAGAGGTATGAAAAAGGGATAAGTCGTACGGGACTGGACGCCAGGGATTTTAAAA